CCGGCGGCAAAAGTCACCGGGAGTCTATTTAAACAGCCCCGATGCGGGCGACGTACACTGTACGTCGTCAGTCACGAAGGGGTTAGGGATAAAACATGGCAGTGTGTGTATGGCAGAGACGTGCTGAATATATATTTGTATTTTTCGCTCTCTTTCACCAATGTGTGTAGAAGCGTCTGCATGCCGAGGTGTGTGATTTTATACACTTGTGGTCACGGAGGTGATTGGAACACCTGAATCCAATGATTTGGAGGGGCGTCCCAATACTTTTGGCAATATAGTGTATATATTTTAAGCGGGGTATCTCACCCCTGAAGAACTCGGCTCCTATATAAAGCTTTGCTGACATGGGCTGTTCATGGCAGCAGACGGTATATTTCCAGGTTTATAATTAGCAGTGACATTTGATGCCAGCTCAGACACATAAATAGAATGTATTTAAAGCACGGAGAAGAACAATGGCGACGGCTCACTCTGTGTATATTTAGATCTGAATGACATGAAGTTATATGTACTCAGTTCATTCAGTCCTACCCATGATGTATGAGGTTTGTGGTATTCGCCCCACTATAGATGTGATCCTTGCCGGGGCCAGTACACACAAAAACTTTTATTGAACTATATTGCGCAATAGCTACATATATAATTCTGCTTTGTGTGCACAAAATGCCTTGGCAAACCCAGTTATTGCCTTGTACAGTGGCAACCTCACTGGGCTGTACATAGCCTATGCAGAGAGCAGAGCTGTGGGAGGGACCCAGCAGGCCCCACCCACTACAGGAGGGGGAGGAGATAAGACCAGTCACTCTGACAAGTAAAGAGAGCAGCAGTGACCAGTCTTGTCTCCTCCCCCTCCGGTAGTGGGTGGGGCCTGTTGAATCCCTCCCACAGCTCTGCTTTCTGCACAGGCTATACACAGCATAGTGATGACGTCACTGTTATTTATATAAATTGATTTTGATTTATTGGGGAATATATTTAAAGTTGTTGTGTCCGGGCCCCTTCCATGGTTCCCCTGCATATGTTTAGGTGGGTGACATACTGGCAGTGACTGGGGCCCCTTCCATGGTTCCCCTGCATGTGTCTGGTGGCCGACATACTGGCAGTGACTGGGGCCCCTTCCACGTTTGCCCTGCATGTGTTTGGAGGGTGACATACTGGCAGTGACTGGGGCCCCTTCCATGGTTCCCCTGCATGTGTTTGGAGGGTGACATACTGGCCGTGACTGGGGCCCCTTCCATAATTCCCCTGCATGTGTTTTGAGGGTGACATACTGGCAGTGACTGGGGCCCCTTCCATTATTCCCCTGCATGGGATCGGAGGGTGACATACTGGCAGTGACTGGGGCCCCTTCCATGGTTCCCCTGCATGTGTTTGGAGGGTGACACCCTGCTGCTGCACTCCATCCTCTGCATGTTATGATAAAGAACAACACACAGAGGGTGGGCGGGGCCTGGAGATTACATGCTAATGAGATAACAGTTATCTGTCTGCTCTCTTGTCATTCAGCCCAGAGGAGCACACTGACACCGAGCACACTGCCGCCGAAACCAGCCCGCCGCCTTCTACTACACCGCCATCACGGAGCCTTATAGGTTTCCCTTTCTTTTATTTTTTTAACGTCTGTCTCCATAATAGGATCACAGCGCTGTCGCCGTCTGCACTTGTCAATAAAGTTATTTCATGTCTGGCTGGAAAGGAGAGGGCGCATGCGCAGTGGCGTCTACCCGGGAATGGGAGCATGCGCAGTGGCCCAGACCTGTCCGGGTTCTGTCTCCGCTCTCCGGCTCCAGCGGGCGGGGCGGCTACACTCAGAGACTGGCGGCGGACGGCACCACCACCACCCCTACCCAGTCACCGAACCCCAGAGGAGAACGGGCCTTAACCAGCAACACCCTGAGGGAGTCCGGCAGCGGGAACGCGCGTGCGCGCGCCCCCGGCAAGACTGGTGAGTGTGAGCGTGCACTCAGCAAAAGGAGGGGGTATACAATGTATATGGCTCTGTCTGTCTGTCTAGCTATAATACAGGTTTATAAATAAGGTGTGTGTATAATTCATGTATTCATAATAGATCAATAATGGAGCGGAATTCCTAAAACTGGAGCAGACAGAATCTTGGACAGTTGCCCGTGGCAACCTATCACCTTCACTCTTCAGTTTGTTCAGGTTAAGCTATGAAAAATTATACAGAGAAGCTAATTGGTTGCCATAGGCAACTGCTCCAGTTTTATGAATTCCTCCCAACATGTATTTATAAATAAAGTGTGTGTATATAATATATACAATGTGTGTGTATACAGTGTGTGTGTGTGTAATATATATACAATATGTGTGTGCAATATATACAATGTGTGTATATATATATATATATACACACACACACACACACACACACACACACACACACACACACACACACACACACTATATTTGGGAAGTCACGCAGTATAAGATACAATTTACCAGAAGAAGATACAAAGTATATCTTCAAGTTCCATACACCGGTGACCTGCTACACCTGAAATTATTGTTTCTGTGTGCGTAGTCTGTAGATCAGGAGTGGGCAACTCCGACCCTCCAGCTGTTGTGGAACTACAAATCCCATGAGGCATTGCAAGACTGCCAGTTATGGGCATGACTTCCCGAGGCAGTGGCATGTTGGGATTTGTAGTTAAAGCACAGTTTCCCCCGAAAATAAGACCTAGTACTATTTTTGGGAATTGCTCAAATATAAGACCTACCCCGAAAATAAGACCTAGTTGTGACCATTCCCAGGGCCGGTGGTGGCATAAGGGGGAACTTGAAGAGCCGCGGGAGAGAATCAGAGGTGCCAATGAAGCCAGCGCTAGAGGAAGCGAGGCGGCAGCGGAGGGAGCAGAGCCGCATAAGCCGATGCCTCCTCTATAGCACCGGCTCCTGTCACAGGTGGAGTCATACCAAATGCACTCCTCCTGTGAGGAATCCATAGTGAAAGCGCGCTCCGCTCATACTGGCCAGCGATTGGTTAGCAAATTGCCCTTGGAAAGGTACGGCACCCCTGGTTGCCCTGATCACCATATTTGTGTATATGAATAAGTGTGGATTGTTGTACATAAAAAAAAAAAATAAGACCTAGGGTACTTTTTTGAGCCAAAACAAATATAATATTTTCGGGGAAACACTTTATATACATTTCCTGCACCCTGCTCAGGTGTAGCAGGTCACCGGTGTATGGAACTTGTAGATCTACTTTGTCTCTTCCTCTGGTAATTGTATCTTATACTGCGTGACTTCCTATATGTACTCAGTACTTGGTTTGGGCCCCTTTTGCAGAACTTACTGCAATTACTTTTGCACAATATTCTAATTATTCGAGTTTCACCTGTGTATATATATATTAGTGTGTGTGTAATATATAGTAATGTAAATGGGTAAGCTGTATTAGTCCAGTAGAGAAGATGTAGAAAACCAAAACAAAACAGAGTACCGCAGTATACAATGATACCTTTCTTATTGGACTAACATTATTTAACAGACAAGTTTTCGAGAGTTAACCTCTCTTCTTCAGGTCGGAAGCAATACTCTATTTTTGGAATATATATATATATATATATACACACACTGTATATATTGTATACACACATTATATACATACACCCCACACATACATGCACACATTCTATATACATATTACACACACGCTCATTCATTGTATACATTACACACACAATACACAGTATGTACATATTACACAAAGACATCCATTGTCTATATTACACACATGTACACACACACTGTATATATTACACACACACATTGTATATATTACACACACACACTGTATATATTACACACACACACACACACTGTATATATTACACACAGGTATACAAGCTTGTCTAGTATTATGACGGTGTTTATATTTCCCCACATTTAGCTATTCCTAGGATATTACAGATACAATAATACACATCCTCCCCCCGCCTGGTCTATCGTGTCTTCCACCCTCTCATTATGTGCAGACATTGTGAGTTTAGAGATCTCATGTAATGACGGGTTAGTCAGGGAATTTTCTTGCAGTCACATATATATATACAGAAGGAAGTGCGATAGTTTTGGAGACGTTTTCAGATAACAGATTCTTCTTCCCTGACCCTCCAATCTGCAGAATGCAAACACGCTCAGTACCTCTCTGTCATACGTGCACAGATCTTGTGTTTTGTCTCTTTTATAGAAAAGAAAACCTGTTACTGTTCCAGAAATTCACTCGGCTCCTAACTTCCTGTTGTGGGCTGATGCCACAACCTTTCCTAGTTGTCTTCTGTTAAACTACAGAATCCCTCCCCCTCTCTTCACAAAATGGGAGGATTGGTTTGTAGTCCAAGTTAAGAACTGGGAGGGCTAATGATAAGTCTGAGCAGGATGGCACTGGATTTCCAGCAGGATTTACACTGTTAATGGTATATTTAAAGGGTAAGTTCACCTGTTTATTAAAAAATGAAGCCATGAACTTACTCACAACTCCCCCCACCCGCCGTTGCCACTGCAATTAACTGTTCATATGACATACACTCGATGCCCACACCAGCCGCGTAATGGCCACACGCTTCAAAACTTCACTACGCAGCCCAGTCATTGGTCAGCAAGGCCATGCGACCACACCGACCAATGGGAATCTGTTCTAAGCTTTCTTTCTTCCGAAACGGCATCCCAGAAGGAAAAAGAGGTTCACTGTGGCCAAAGAGAATCTCTTCTGTCTTCCTGGAACCTGAAGAAATAAGGTTTAGAAGAGCTTATTGGTCACGTGGCCTCACCAACCAATGAGAATCTCTTTTTTATCACAACTGAGGTACGAGGGGAAGGGGAGGGGCTTTTAACTGTTTTGCTAATTGTGTTTCCTGTAGAAGGTGGAACCAATCATCTATCAGGTTGCTGTCCTGGAAGATTCCTAGAAATACCGTTACCGGTAAGTCTAACGGAACATTTCTTCCAGGACCTCCTATGGGAAGAATAGAAGGTTTAGAAGAGATTCTTATTGGTCACGTGACTGCACTGACCAATGAGAATCTCTTCTTTCTTCCAGGACCCCATATGGGAAGATTAGAAGGTTTAGAAGAGATTCTTATTGGTCACATGGTCTCACCAACCAATGAGAATTTCTTCCATGATCACGTATGAGGAAAATAGAAGGTTTAGAAGAGATTCTTATTGGTCATGTGACTACACTGACCGATGAAAATCTCTGCCTCCTTCAGTGTTTTGGAAGACTAAAGGCTCAGAAGAGGTTCTCATTGCTCGGTATGGTCACATGGCTGCACTGACCGATGACTGGTCACCATTTTCAACATTATGTTACTACTCAACCTCCGGGCTGTGTACAAGTGTGCAGCCCATTAAACCGCCTGGCATGGCCGTCGGGAAGTCATCATCTAAGTATCTAAGTGCAGGGGGACCGGGGGGTGTGGTGGGGAGGGTGTTGTGATATAATTTACCTCCTTTTTATGAGGAGGTGACCTTACCCTTTAACAGGCAGCAGATAAGAGAAGTTCTCTGCCCGAGACTAGCCGAAAGCTTGCTTTACCCGCTGCTCTGCTACAAGCTGAAGCTCATGTACACAAACCCTCTGCGTATATAGAACGTGTCTGCCTTCTGGCAGGTACAGTCTTATATCTGTGGGTAGGCATACCGTTCTTTTGTTTTGGTACAAGTCTGCCGGGCCTGACTGAGTGTGCGGCTGAGATTTGCAGGGAGGTGGAGGAACTGGCAGATACACAGAGAGCCACTAGAGGGAGCACTCTCAGCTCTACATGTAGACACACAGCAATGGAAATCTAGCCCGGCCGGCATGTACGATCACTTTAAAGAGGATTAGTCACTCCTTGGCTTACGCAGAATCTAAATATTCTGTCCCAAATCATAAATCTGTTTACATATGAAAGATGTATATGTGCTCCTGGATTCGTCAAGCTTGAGAGTCAGGGGTGGGAGATCAGATGGAAAATGTCAGTTTCTCATGTCGCTTGTCTGACCTCACATACTGCAAACCCGAGCTGGGAGACTGTGTGAGGTCAGGCAGTGGGTAGAGCATTCCACTTCAATTCTTCAAGTGAAGTCCGACACGGAGTAAATAAGGAGAATATACATAATCCATCATAAAAGGACAAAAAAAAAAGAAAACCGGGTGCTGTACATAGCTTCCTGAAAACATGACAGCACCCTGCCTCAGTAGGACTGACTCTTGGGAGGAGTTATGTAAATATCAAAATGTCTTGATGGGTGGTTGGAAGTCTATAAAAGTGGGCATTCCTAGTCAGAATGGATTTGAATGCAGAACCCCCAAGGTAACGCCCACATGTGATGCTGAGCCTCCATGATTGAAGGAACTGAAATCCAATGAATGAAAGAGGAGGACCAGGGACAGTCAGGTTGGGTAGGAAGGAGCTAGATGATGAATGTCCTCCAGCCAGGAAATGAGGTGGGCTCTATCTGACTTGCTACAGGTTCTAAAGTACATTGTGAGAAGATCACAGATTAATACTTACACCTCCCACACCACCGATCTGCGGTGTCTTCTGGAGCATTGGTGGTTGAAACGACTTGAGCATCCACCACCATTTTGAGTGTGTCGTATGCATGTATTCCACGCTAGCCACTCTGGTTTCTTCCTCCGGTCACTACTATATCCTGGAGATGCGTAGGGTCAGAGGAAGGAATCGCTGCAGTAGAGGAGACCAAGTATCCCACACACCCAAAAGTTTGCTGGATGCTTGGATCAGCCAGTGAAGCTCCAGAAGACAGTGCAGATCATTGATGCTGGACCTATTATAATTGTTTCTCTCTCTCTCTCTGCAGCAAACTACTTGTTCTCAAAGATGGCTGATGCGGTTCATTACATCCACCTGCAGAACTTCAGCAAGAGTCTCCTGGAGACCCTGAACGCCCAGCGTCTGGGTGGGCATTTCTGTGACGTCACCGTGCACATCCACGATGCGACTCTACGAGCCCATCGCTGTGTGTTGGCAGCAGGGAGCCCCTTCTTCCATGACAAGCTTCTCCTGGGTTACTCAGAGATCGAGGTTCCGCCAGTGGTACCAACTCAGGTGGTTCAGCAGTTGGTGGAGTTCATGTACAGCGGGTCGCTGGTTGTAGCCCAGTCTGAGGCTCTACAGATCTTGACGGCGGCCAGTATCCTTCAGATTAAAACTGTCATTGACGAATGCACACAGATCATATCGCAGAGTCGGGCAAACAAGCCCGTGACTATTGCTACAGCCATGGCGCCATGTGGGCCTCAGAGCCGCTCTTCCATGAACAAGAGCCAAGAGCAGCCCACCAAAGATCCGGAATGCTCAGCAGCTTTGGGCATAAGGGACTCAACTTGCTCTTTGCCATCTTCTTTACGATCCAACGACATGGAGATCATGTCCCAGATAGGGACGGTTAGCGAAGCGCCAAAGTTACTTTGCGCCTCGGAAGTGCGCTACAAGCTGAGAGATATGCTGTCGGCGCAGCAGCGCCAGCTTTCGGAAGTCAGGGAGATAACCGTGCCGGAGGTTGAGCACGTCCCGGACAACGATGGAATGTCGACAGCTTACTTGACGCAAGCGGAGGCACCACAGAGCTGCCACAGCCGAAAACAGCGGCAGCCGGTGCGTCTGCAGATCTCAGACTCTGTCCCCGTGATCATTAAGGACGAAGAGGAGGAAGAAGAGGAAGAAGATGATGGGAACGGAAAAGATGATAACGAGGATGAAAAGGGAGCTGTGTTCACAGAGTGTAGCGGAGGATTCACCAGCTGCAGCGAAAACGAGAAAGTCAGAAGTCCGGACGATAAAGTCCGTAACGCCGGCAATGGGCGGAAAGACTCCACGACCGGCCAGATGGAATTTCCTGCTGAGGGGCAGGACTTCTTTGCCAACCAGGATGTTTTTTCGGAAACCTTTATCCCTCCTTGGCAAAGCGAGGAGAACCTGCCAGAAGGCAATAGGGAAACTTCCATAGACAATGGTGACAAGTTCAGGCCGGACTGTAGCTTGGAGAGCTCCAGCCTTAGGAACCTGGCTGTGGTGGCCGGCTCTGACTTCAAGCCCAACCCCCCCTTTAATGCCAGAGTCGGGGAAACAAGGGGACTCCCGTTTGTGGCATCAGTCCTTAATCGAGATCTCAAGAACTCTGTCTCGGCTGCTGTGGCCACAGGTTCTTCCAGCATCTTCCAGTTCCACCTGACGCACCCGACCCAAAACCAGTCTGGAGTCACGCAGAGCTTTTTCAGTGTTCAGCAAGACGGCTCCAGCAACGTTGTCCAAATGAATTCGAATATAGTCCCTGGAAACCTGCAGAACGACCAGACCCAGCGTCCAGGACCTTCACGGAACCCCGAACCGTCCTACGTCTGCAGTCACTGTCAGAAAACCTTCAGTTCTCGGAAGAACTACACCAAACACATGTTCATCCATTCTGGTAAGTGCTCCGTAGCTGTTATGTAGTTGTCACTTAAAGGACTACTAACTTTAGAGGTTTTTGTAAGTCTATGAGAGGGATTTATCAAAATCTGGAGCAACCAATCAGCTTCTCTCTTTCATTTTCAAATCTACATTTGTTCCCCATGGTCCCTGTGTGTGTGGTAAAGTAGTCACTGTTCGAAGCTCACTCCTGTGATGGACTACAATTGCAATACAAATTGGTAGGGATGCACCAATACAGGTATTTCGGTATCGTGTAAGAATACCGATATTTTGCTTTCGTTCCTCGCCGATACCGAGTACTGTTATGGGTGCTTCCGCTGGCATGGAGCCGGCTTACCAGGCAATTAGAAAGCCGGGTGGTGGGTAATGACATGCTGGCCGGCTTCCTGATTGCCTAGGAAGCCGGCTCCATGTTGTGTGCCGGCTTGATTGACTGGGAAGCCAGTTTCCTGGCTAATCACAATTGGCATAGAGTCAGCTTCCTGATTGGCCGGGAAGCCGGTTCGATGCTGATTCCGACTTCCCAGCACAATCAGCCTGGTGCTGGCTTCCTGGCTAATTAGGAGGCGGGTCATTACTTGGCGTCCAGCTTCCTGATCGCACAGGTAGCTGGCTCCATGTTCCCCTACGGCACTACCGGTCAGAGGAAATCTTTCTTCCTCTGACCGGAGGGTGTTGGAGCATTTGGGCGAGTACCAGTACTCGCCCAAATACTCGATATCGGCACCGATACTGATACTAGTATCGTTATCGGTGCATCCTTTCAAATGAGTAAACTAAACCTGAGATTGTAGTCCATCACAGGAGCGAGCTTGGAGCGGTGACTACTTTACAGCACACACAGGGACCATGGGGAACAAAAGTAGCCTCCCTCCAGAAGGAAGGACAGTGTCAGCACCAATTCAGAGATGATTGGAGGATCTACAGCCAAGTGATACACAAATAAGATACATTGTTGTTAATTAAGGTACCTGAATGTATTTTTAAGATTTAACTTCTAAGGTTAGTGTCACTTTAATAACGATCAGCATTGGTTCTGCTCTGGTGCTGATGTTACTGTAGCTTTATGCACCTTTTTAGAATCTTGTACAAACAACCCCCAATCTATACACAATCCACACCTATACCATGTGCGGTCCTGTGTGGCTGACTTTTTTTTTTGGCTCAGCTGTTAAACCGCAGCCACTTTCAGTATTTTTGAACCACCCGGGGCTTTGCGGATGTTGCCACAAGTTCCATTGCTTTTATTAGTAATATTAAACACCTTCAACAGTGCCAGTTTTGCACCAGCTCACCGACAGCCCTCAAGTCTATGGCAGAAAGTTTGAGCCAAGAGCATCTCTGGTGGACCAGCTTTGTGTGCAGCTCGGGGCTTGTTTGGATTATTGCTGTGCACTTCAACTGTGTGAGATATACATTTAACAGTTAGTGCTTCTTTTACTTGGCATGAAAGTTTATTTTCGTACTAGTCTGCCACATGCTCCTTTATTATTGTATATAACTGATAGAAATCATGCACTTTTGTGATATTAAAGTGACACCAAACTCAGGAGTTAAATCTTAAAAATGCATTCAAGTTCCTTCTCTATTAACAATACTGGACCTTATTAATGTATCACTCAACTGTAGATCCTCAAATCATCTCTGAATTGGTGCTGACACTGTCCTTCCTTCTGGAGGGGGGCTACGTCTGTTCCCCATGGTCCCCGGGTGTGTTGTAAAGTAGTCACCGCTCCAAGCTCGCTCCCGGGATGGACTACAATCTCAATGCAAATTAGTAAACAACATGAGATTGTAGTCCATCACAGGAGTGATTTTGTAGTGGTGACTACTTTACAACACACACAGGGACCATGGGAAACAAAAGTAGTCACCCTCCAGAAGGAAGGACAGTGTCAGCACCAATTCAGAGATGATTGGAGGATCTACAGCCCAGTGATTTAACTCCTGAGTTTAGTGTCACTTTAATCATAGGAGTAAATATGACATATGAATATTCTGGCGATGAGCTCCAAAGAATAGTACGTGCCTTCTACAGCAGTTCTGCGATATAAATCTGAAGAGCAGGGGAGATCAGATTACACTTATTGCAAAATGAGTCACACAGGATAACATAGTCTTCCCCCTCTCCTAGTAGATATGGCACCATCTGCCTTTTATATTCTGGGGGCTGATCGCCGTGCAGGCGTTGCAGGGATTTCTTATATTAGAAAGCCCAGCATACTTTGCACACTGGGTCATGGAAGCACCTCGTGATATGTCTATGTAACATGTAAGGATTATATTCTTCCTTAAAGTTTTGACCCAGAAATAGACTCCTCTGTATGCAGCTAACAAAAGAATGATTTTCATGCAGCTGACTTCCACCCCCTGACTGTGTTTGGTTATTTTTGTCTAGATTGTTTAGGAGATTGGCTAAAATACCAGAAGAGCATGTTGGCCGCTTATAGCATGGCAGTGAGAGGTATTATTACTGGGCTTAAATTGGCCCCTGAGCTTTGCTCCGGGACTCTGGTGTCAGGCAATGGCTTATATCATCCTCCATGCTGGCATAGACTGGAGCAGTGTCTATGAGAGGTCTGCTGCCCTAAATATATTACAGTTTGTGTAGGCCTTGAGTTCCCAAGTGCTGCATTGCTAGGCTGCTGTTTGAGGTCCCCCGAGGCATGAGAATCGGTAGCGCAATCCAATGATTTTCAGGCTGATTGGACAGCAGCGTCACTTCCATGGGTCAGGTTAGAAGACTTGTTCTGATCCCTTCTGTTCATAAGTCATCATCTACCTGTCAATCTCTCTCCCCATCACTCCACTTTTTCATCCGGCATAAACAAATTCTTATCAGATTCATGTTTCAGGAAAGGCCCTCTGTATTCGTGAGCATTACCATTAGGCTAGCATTTTGTGACGGCACTGGCACAGTCCATGGTTTGGCGCTATTGGCTACCCCTGTGGGATAAATGATGTGCTTGAGCTGGGGCCGCTTTGCAAATTTTATAAGAGAAGCCAAAGGTATGAATTGATATTGCCAAACATCTATCTATCAATCCAGAGTGTATCATTCTGGTTGATAGACCAGGGCACAACCCATGGGAAGAATGGTGTCATAAACTGCTTTCCTGCACTATCCATTCATCAACACAATGATTTGTATTTATTACAGGCACTCCAATGGCTCTGCCGAACCTCTGGTAGGAGGCAATCGGTTTTCGGCTGATCATTTTCCGCCTGGCTCAGTCCACTTTGTTTCGCTAGGTGGTGGTTACAGGGCCGACCGCAGTTTGAATTTGTCCCGATTCTGCAGGAACCCACATAGATTTTTATTTATTTCATGCATTTATATAGTGCCAACAATTTATATAGTCAGTGTCCCTGCTCTCAAAGAGCTTACAATCTAAGGTCTCTATCTCACATACATATACTAAGGCTGTATTAGACAGGAGCCACTTGCCCTACCAGCGTGTCTTTTGGAATGTTGGCAGAAGATGGAGGACACCCACATAAGCACAGGGAGAACCTTTTGCTGGGATTCAAATCGAGGACCCCAGTGCCGGAAGGCAGAAGTGCTAACCACTAAGCTTCTTTACTGCCGGGTTATTCATATTTTTAATTTAAACAGTACCCTATATTAAGAGACACTTTGGCTTTACCCCTACCCTGGATACCCCCAATCTGATGAACCTCTGCCTCTGTCCATTGTGCAATATTGGGTCTGAAAATCACATTGTTATACATAGAGCAACTGGTTTCACCCTAACACACACACACATACACACACCCCCCATATCAGTCAGTTTCCCCATCCACGCTATACTCCATTGTTGGCTGTTGTATTCGGACAATCATGGCGCTGCTGAACAGTGATTGCATCTGATGGGATGTAGTCACTGGATATTTGACCCACCCAACTCAATTTTGAAAACTGCCTTTTCGGGCCAGGTGGTTTGGACAGGGCCATCCACGGCTTGAGTTTTGGTTGGCTCTGCAAGAACCATCTGAAATTGGAGCCATCTATGGAGGCCTTCATATGGTCTGCTTTCAAAGTCCATTGGCCTTTGATCAGATCTCCTTTCCAGAGGTGATTAGCGCAGCTAAAATGGTTGTGGCACTTAACATTTCTGGTCTATTTAGGCCACAGTCCAGAGCTGACAGCTGATGGAACTGTTCTCTTTTTAAAGCTGTCCTATCTCAAGTCATGTGAGAGAGCCAATCACAAATATCTGACAGTTGGCGATCCACAACTATTCGAAGAGGCAGTTGAGCCGGAATCCTGAGAATTACATTATGGGAATGTCTAAACGAGCTTTTCAGTGGACTAGATCTAAACCCAATCACTAAAATCTCATATAAGTTTTAATATGCCAACAAAGCTGCAAACGGTTTCAACCTTTTTAAATCTGCAGCTTTCTTGAAAATATTACCGGGTGATCCTTCCTGTTGCAAGGTGACAACGGAAAGAATTGCCGCTTCTCGTTTCATACAAGTGATCAGATCACTATGTTCACTTAGCTCTGCTTGTCCAGAGCGGGGCTAACTGTACAAAAAAACTACTCGCCCGGCGCCCGAAACTACATGTCCCGGGAGTCGGGCGATAGGAATTCCACACCCCTGCTGTCAGAGGAAATCTTCCAATAACCGTAAGTTCAGGTATCGGAGCATTTGGGCGAGCTTGAGTACTCGCCCAAATACTCGATATCGACACAGTTACCGATAGTAACTTTGTCGATATCGAGTGTTTAGTATCAGTATCGTGCATCCTTAATACTGTATATAGAAAATAGAAAGCATGACACTTGTTTGATACACAACGCTCTAGCAATCTTAATTGTCATCCAGTTAGAGTTTAGGTGTACATAGAAAAATAATCCATTCTGTTACACATGGGAAGAAATTCCTTTATTTTGGAGTCAGTTGCTGAGTAAAATAATTGTAGTGAATTCTTTCCATGACCTCCTAAATCAGCGGGACATGTGTTTACAAAGAATAAATATTTCCTCACAGTTTCGTCCTTTGTATAACTGGCTGATGTAGCTCTGTCGTAGAAGTGTAGCTACGTGGGCCTCCATCTTTAAATATTATGTCATTCTAATGTGCAAATATTTCCCCTGCTCTGTAAACACTTCTATTTTCTAAACCGTCTTTGGAGGTTGGGAAGTCCAGTGAATGAGATTGTTGATGATCTCTGGGAGGCACAACTGAATCTGTAGTATGTACATTGAATAAAGACAATCATTAGAAGATAATTCTGGGATGGGAACGTAAACAATGGGCTGTTAAAGGGAACATATAGTTGTTCATATATTTATTAAAATATATCATTACTTTTTAGTTGGATAAATATAATATTTTGGGGTTGATTTACTAAAGGCAGGTAAGCTGTTCAATGTGCAAGGGAGTTTTCACTATGCAAAATAATTTTCCCTTAGCTTCGTGAACGTGGTTAAAATTTTGCAAAGAATACCCAATTATGTGCAAGAAGAAAAAAATATTTTTGATTGCACATGGTTCACCCCCAAAAGAAAGCTATACTCGCCCAATGCTCTGAGCCGGTGTTCTGTTGAGGTGGCCAGCTCGTTGAGATCTCCAACTCGTGACGTCACGTCCGTTGTAGATTACGACGAGAGGGCGATAGTGCGCCAGCCGTCACAGTTTTTGCAATCCTCGTTGACTTCTCCAGTTGCCGTAGGTGCACCTGTGCGGCTTCTAAATTGTCATCGAGTTCTCCAACTCCCGGTAGGTGCTTGCGGCATCGGGTGCCCACTCAGGGGCGCTGCCGCAGATTGTGGAGCTTGATACTTCTCTTGGGTGGCTGCGCAGGCACACTGACGGGAGTTGGAGGTTTCAACGAGTTGGAGAATTGGATAGAACACCGGCTTGTTCTTAGACTAGTCCTTTCAGACTCTCTCCCCCTCCTCTGCAGTGGTCTAAGGTTCTGCAAATCATCACGTCCAATACACAGTGTATAGACCTGAGGAAGATTCCAGTGCTGTGGGGGAGGAGACAGGCTGGAGGGAGCACTGTGACAGATGGCCGGCTTGGAGCTGCAAGGGTTAAAATTTTCTGGAGTTTTTAAGCTTAGGGGAAATTTCCGTGCAAAATGAAAAATTTCTTGCAAATTGAACAGCTTTTTTGCCTTCAGTAAACCAACCCCATTGTGCATCTGTTTTTGAGTCTATTTAGGTCCAAAGTTCTAAATCAGATGAGAGGTCAGATTACATAGACTGCTAAGTGCCACAGTCGTCCACATGTGAGAGGCAGCCACATGTGGGGAGGAGACACTCGCTGTCAAAGGCTGACTGGCCAATCACCGACCCCAAAGCAGAACAGCTGGTAGTACAGGAAGAGAAACAGGTTGAGTTTTAGGATGTCTTGTGTATATTTGGACAATCTCAATGGGTTCGAGGGCGTAAGTAGGCTTTTTAAAAAATGTATGTTTCCTTGAGAATGCCAGTTTGTGTGAACACTAATATAGAAACCAATTTTATGGAAGTAACAAAAGTATCATTTCAGCCGCCAGATTAAAAATATAGGAAGTCGCACATCTCTAAACTTCCTCCAGGATGTGATATTATCTAGTGCAGGAGGAAGTGAAATCCCTTCCTTCTTCATAAAGTAGGATAGGATTGGTTTGTAGGCTGGGGAGGAGACAATGTGTTCTTCTTCCCCTTCTGCTCCCACCCTCCCGTCCTTCCTGACCATCTGACCATGCACTCCTGACCATCTGACCATGCACTATCTATAATTGTCCTACAGTGGCGTGACAGGAAGGGACATCACCTAATTTGTAAATAACATGAGGTATTTGTATGAATATATTATATGAAATATCCATTGCTGGCCTAATGTATTTTTTTGTGTTCCCCTTCCTCCAGGAGAGAAGCCACACCAGTGCAGCATCTGCTGGCGCTCCTTCTCGTTAAGGGATTATCTCCTCAAACACATGGTGACCCACACTGGCGTCCGAGCTTTCCAGTGTTCCATCTGCTGCAAACGCTTCACCCAGAAGAGCTCGCTCAACGTCCACATGCGCACCCATCGCCCCGAACGCTTCCAATGTTGCTTCTGCAATAAGTACTTTTCCCATCGCACCCTCCTGGAGAGACACATTGCCACACATACCGCCTGATATGCCAACCCTCTCGGCAACTGACAGCCGCCACATTATGCCAGCCGCTTCTTGGCCTGGATTCTGTTGACGGATATTTGGAGAGGGACAGGACTTGGCGCCATCAGCCTTGTCCTTGCGATCGATCTCCCCAAAGACTTTGTACTGAGGTTTATCAATTTATTTGTTACAGTACACAGCGCTTGTCATATGGTATTCTAAGGTGGGTTAACCATGCGAAGAAGGGAATGAAAAGCACTCGAATTGTGACTTCATTCTCTCTTGACTTTGAATAAAGGATGAGGATTTTCTACACTAATTGGCATGCAAGCACTATTAAATATGCATGCCCTTGGACAGATTGTCCTACAGATCCCCTAGCCAGTAGTGGATCTCTAGAGGCCAGCATTGAGATGTCCAGAGTGGGGATTATGTTCCCTGGTGGAACATAATTATTTTTGTTTTTATTTCATATCAGTTAGGAACCCAGCAGTATTGTGATCCATCATCTGTTTTTAAGGCAGAGCTTCGCTGGTTTGGTTCGCTTTGGGTTGGAATAGGGTAAGGCGAGTCTGCTGTTATTAATACGGCTAGCCTTGTTGCCGCTGTCCTGTAACACTGCAGACAATGGAAGACCCTTCACTCTTCAACGCTTTCTCCATTCATAAGCCTGAGTGTAATTATGGCTGGAGGACAACAAGACCTGGAGGCCATAGTTCGGGACCTGAGACCAGCAGGACCACGGCAAAGGTGCAAGTTGTACTTGCATAGCAAACTTTCGAAGGAAAACAAACTGTGTTGCTCGTTGCAACAGATCACATTCACCTTTTTTTCATTCTCGTGCACTCAGCATCTGTTTTGGTTGGACAACGCAAATATCTCTTTTTATAATGTCCGGTGTAGTAGAAGCATCTTTCATCATGTACTTTACAAATCATTATTTTTCAGTAACCTAACTTTGTGATTTTTAAGCTCATCATGTTGTGAACTGTTTAGGAGGAACGGTAAATCCAAAGTGCAAGTTGGCCTATTTAGAAGAACTATTAATGTATAATGACACCACTATCATGGTTCGCTAAATTCTAATGGAGATCACAGCCAAACCCCCTGGGCAGGGGTCTGTTTTTGCCTTTCTGGTGGTAAAATGACTCCCTGACCCACAGAGTCAATCAAACCAATTTCCTGCCTTTAAAATCTTTTTAATTGTAACAGTGGGTACTATTGGTCATCCGAAAACGATCTTGCCCTCTCCTAAATTTTATTAGGTTTGCCATTTCTTTTGTATGTGGTATGGCATTCCACAGCATTGTCACACACAGGTGTTTGTGTATATATATTAATTTATATACAATAAGTGGCCAGAGAAACGGAAACCAACTGTTTATCACTGTGCTGGACCATGTATGGTCCTGATAAGTCATTATGTGGTGCTTGTGGCTCCTCAATACTTGAAGCTTCCCACGTCATTCTCGCAATCCTTGCCTCTGGTAGGAGCTTGCAGTGAATGTCTGGGCCACAGTCACACACCCACACACTTGGGCAAGAGTTGGAAGATCTTTGCAAAAATTAGATGAATATGCAAACCCTACACTACAAGATTCCATGCTTAGGAATTTATTTCAAGACTACATAGCCATTCTGCGTAGCATTAGTGATTAAATTGCTGTGTTGACCACGCTATTAATAGTTTTCTTGATGTAAGCCAACATATGCTTTGGGATTACTGGCTGCTCACAGTCATTTATGTGGAGGGGCATAATTGGAACCAAGGGGATTTGAAGCTAAAATTCAGGCAAACATAATTTTATGGACTACACTGCAGACTTCACTACATCTAAGCAATGCAGACTGGTCCTGTACCCGTCCCTGACTGGACAGCAAAGACAATTGCAGTATTCTGTTAGCATGACAGCACAGGGCAAAGCAGCAGAGCTCTTATTAGCTCCCCTTTCCTTTTCCTCTCTGAGCACTGCTACATAGTAGGCTGCAGAAGGCTGAAGATTTGCTCGGTAGGGGGTGTATAGACAGCTGGGTTGTAGAACACAGAATTGGGACAGATTGAAGGAAATCGTTCAGTTAGAGAAGAGGGTTTGAAAAGCAGTTTCTGCTATATTAGCAGATTTAAAGAGACGTACGTTTGCCCAAGCAGGTTAAAGGGACCATGTGTGTAACAGGATACCACCTCCCAAAGCCTTTATTCTTATTGATCAGTGTCCCTCGCTCCCTCTTACCTGCAGCCTTCCAGCCTCTCTATCCTCTTCCAGCCTCTCTAACTGGTGTCATAGTAGGGCAATGATGTCACAGGCCTCCCATGTGACATTGTTCAGGCCTGGTGATTGGCTGCTTAGACAAAGCAATAATGGGGAAGTCACATGCTTCCCCAAAGCCCTTCTCTGTTAGCACGGACTCTAGCTGTGCTGGGTACATGGCAGGGGAGTGTAGCTGAATTAGTGTAAATGCCTGGGGAGCTAGATGGTCCGTCTGCAGACACTATTTGCTCTATAAGAAACCATGTCTCTTTAATGGTAATCTCCACCTTTTAAACTGATATTTGACATCTGCATAGATTCATCTCAGATGAACGTCTCAGTGATGATGATTATTAGTTTGGCCATTGCAACATCAGTTTATTGGTGTTGGGTTCCCCGGTTTATTCTCTGTAATGATAAAGAGCCACCTGCATTGTTGGGAGGTTATAAGAGATCCAAACTACCATTGTGAATTCTCGAAGAGATGTTAAAATCTGATGAATTATTTTAACTAGGGATGCACCGATACTTTTCGAGTACCAGTGCCGCTACTTGGCATTTTCATGAGAACTACCAGGGGTGCAGCTGTGACCTGGCTCTGGTGCTCCACCACTGTCCTGAAATTATTAGTCTGTATTGTTTTAGAAAACTGTCACATGACAATAAACATGTATCAGTAATTGTACTTACTAGTTTTGCGAGTACAAGTTCTTATATCAGTGCATCCCCATATATATATATTTATAAAAACAAAATCATACATTAACAGGGAAGTACAAATCCCAGGAGCTCCGTGTGCTCCTTACAAATGACAGCGGCCTCCTAACTTTTGCATTTCTCTCTAGTCTAGACCTGGAGCTGGAAAAGTATCTGTACTTGTACCGAGTACTGTACTTGGTATCGGTGCATCCCTAATTTTAACACACCAGAGTCTAATTAATATTGCAATATCTGTTTTGGATGAACTGGCCCTTAAATGAAAGTTGGGAACACTTGTAAAGCCCTGCTTCAGATTAGGCAATGGCAGCATACACAGCCTCAAACCGTAAAAGGAAATGTTTACACCGCGTCAAGCTTACAAACTTGCAGAAGGTCCACTTTAACATTCTTGACTCCCATCAGCCCCTCCACATAAAACCTTTTGCAGGAGTTCCGTAAATATCCGAGTATGTGGAAGGAAACGACATCCAGCCAGTCCACAAATGACAATAATACACAAGGTCACTGGCCGTAATACGGAAAGCCTCCTCGCTGTTTGTGTGTGAGTCAGAGATTTTCTCTTGCAATGTGTAAATAGTCTATTTAACCAGCATATCTAATATGTTTGTATTTATGAACTTGTGTGTGGCTTCTCGGCGGTGTGTTATAAACTTGTGTTCCCCGTTGTTAACGATCCTGTCGCGCTTCCAAATGAAGCCGCGTTTTAATGTATTTATAGACGCAAAAGTAAGATGTTGGTCGCATATACGCATGTTTTCAGTGTGCTGTTGCGTGAACGGATTTTATTTTCTGATCCTAACGAGGTGGCAAAATTTGTAGTTCCAATCATTGGCGTATTGCTCCTTTTCTGTAGCTTAGCTTTGCATCGTACTGCAAGTTAAGTGTATGGAGACAATAGAACTCCTTTGAGCTCTGTTTAGTGGCACGAGTGCCCTTTTAAAGGGTAAGTTCACTTTCTCAGAAAATGAACTTACCGACTTCACCCGCCACTTCTCCCGGCCTCCACTGCACATACCTGTGTGATACACTGCCAGCTGGTGTATGTTCACAGCCCCACAGTATGTAATGAGCACAATGTTCACAAATGGTGAGTACTCATTGGTCAGTGAGAAGCGCTTCTTGCTTTCGGGACCTGGTCCCTGGCTCAGGAGCACTTCTCTTTGGCCAGCATGGCCATTTGACCAATGAGCGCTCGCCATTTGCGAGCATTATGCTTTTTCATTGGCCATTTGACCATGCTGACTAATGAGCGCTCGCCATTTGCTTACTGTGAGGCTGTGCATTTCGGTGTACACACCATACATGAGCTGGCAGGGAATCACACAGGCATATGTGCAGCAAGGGCCGGGAGTGGTGGCAGGGTGCTCTCGGTAAATTCAATTTCTCACATTTTGTGAACCTTCCTTTTTAGAAATCTCCTGAGCAAAATGTGTACTTTTGTCACATTCAGCTGGATGTTGAAGACGTTTCACAGCTTAATCAACTGGTTCTTCAGTTCTAATGAGTGTCAGGCATATACCCCAGCATTCACAGCCACACAAGTAGTGGTCACCTTAATCCATTCAACATAGAATGTGTCAAGGCAAATATTGCCAAAAAAAAGTTGTGTAACCATCAAGTTTTAATTACATATTCCCATCTCTTGGTGTCATAAAGTCTGTCAGGGGTTTTGTTTGGCCCCAAAGGAAGCTCATGTATTTTTTTTTTTTTTTTTTTTTGAGCTACAGGCAGTGCAATGCTCGGATATGATCAGGCACCATTTAAAATAATGGTCTTCTTTATGTTGAGCGTCACCCCAAGGTGTGAATGGGGTAAAAGGTGGGATTATATAATTGGAACAGGATGGTTCCACAACTGTTACTCCTCCCATCCTATCCTTGGACAATCACTATCTGCCTTGACTCCTGTGGTGCTTGGATTAAAGTGAGTTACCTGGGTGGATATAAATCCTCTGGTATGTTCCTGACCTTCACCAGATCTGAAGAAGCTTTGAAGCCTCTTTACCCTTACAGACCAAGTCCAGTTAAATGTGGGGAACTACTTATAGCTATCCCATGACTCGGATACATGAGAACACTCACAGTTTGTGAAGTACCGGACATGCTCGTGCCTACTTTTTATCCTCAACTCATACCTGATTAAGTCTGAACTAGTCAAAAAGAAAGTTTCATATAATGGAAGGTGATTTTTTTAAAAGCTTTGCTATTATGATTATGCCAGACTTGGCATTTTTTAGGGTGACATACACGGAGCAATATATTTATTTTTGCACTCCGTTCCAAGAGAAGGAGATCGAATGGTTCAGTGGTTTATATCGGATGATGTTTACAGCCCCTTGGCCATGTTTATAATTCAATTGTGTCCTTTTCTTTTTTAAGGTACCCATAGTGGTAGGATGAACGCTTGCCCTCATCTTAGCAGGGTTGGGCAACAGTGAGGCCAGCAGCTCATCGCAGCTCTGGCCAGTAGATCCTGGTTGGTGAAGCAACATGTCCAGCGGACAAATGGGATTATTTTGGCAAGTAGCCCATTGCTATCTTGACCTCACAATGTTCTCAGCAGTGCACAGGGCCCTGCCATGTGACTGTATTTCTGTATACCTGTTGTGAGACCAAGATGTTATCAGGTCTATTCAGTAAAGATTTGCAAAGCGCAGTCAGCTATAGCATTCAATCATTACACTCGGCACTGCCTTGTTGAATAAACCTGTATATAGCACATGCAGATTATGTCAACCATCATGTTGAGGCCTACAAGCTTATGCTGAAGTGGCTCCCATCATCCTCCACTTCAGCTAGTGGCAATGGTGTGACATTTTTTGTCCTTTGCTTGCTATAAATGGCTACCGGGGAGAATCTAGAAAGTGGAAATGGCCGATCTGTGGACTGGAGTGTTATGTTGGCAAATTAAGATATCTATACACTCGGAGCTGCCAACACCATTTTGTGCCTCTATCGCAAATTTCCAGTTTACAAAATTGGCCGCCTGTGTAGAACTAACAGGTACTCTTCAATGTTTGCACTGTTGTGTATTATGTTACATTTATACCTGTTACCTTCCACTTTTTATAAGAAAACGCCAGATTTTGTGTTTCTCTTTCTGTAAAATTCTAAACCAAAGTTCATGACCTATGAGTTAGAGAGTTGGCATTTTACCATCTTTCTGGCTGAAAGGGAGCAAAGCACTTCTGTGACATTACAGCGTTTGTAGTTGGCCACTTTTCAGTGGACTCTGTATCCACGTTACTGTCCATAGGGCATGATTATTGATCAAGTGTGTTTATAGTACAGCCCAGGAGTAGACAACTTAATATAGAGCTAAGGCCTAACTCCAAAAAGCCAAAACCATGTTTTTTTTATGATTGGCATGGAGACTGGTTAGAACTTCTAAGAACTTGTCTAGAAGCCCAATGGAGAGATTTCCAATGGTTTCCTATCCTAGTAGCCCTACAGGAAAAAAAAACAAATGGCAAAAAAAACAGAGGTTTTACCTCCTCCCCACTCTACTAAACAAAATGTTTTGGGGAGGTTTCTTTTCCCATTGGAAATGCTTCCAATATCTTCTGGTCCTGGTGACACTCTGGCTTAAGGACAGAAATTTGGGAGAAATGTCATGGCGACTGGGACTCGGACAGCAATAAAAACCTGATCAAGGTTCGTAGCCTTGTCTGCCCATCAAACAAACTAGTTCCACATTATAAAAAGGCCCATACTCTAGGGCTAAGGCCCACCAATTGCTGTTCCCCTGTCGATAAGGCACTCTTATTGGACAGGTCACTTGACTTGTGAAGGCAGTAGTGGGCATTGATGAGCATGCTTTGCAATAAAAAGTTTATGACTGGCAGGTTCACTTGGCCAGATGACAATTTCATGCAGCCAGGGTCCATGTGCCGCCACTGACGAGATCTATTCTTGAGATTTTTCAGTTTGGTTTTTTTTGTCCTGTTGACTAGCTGGTTGCTGCTGTTGCCCAGCCTTGTACAGCTACATCAATGACCCTTGGTTATCCAGTTGTGGCTAATGAAAGTCATTCTTGCATGTAAGTTAGGAAACCAAGGGACCGCTACAGCTCATTGTATTAGTGTGTTGGAATGCCTCCACAGCCAAGCTGTAGTCTAAGTCAAGTGTAGACCGATTAACCCTTTTTTCCAGTGTAGACTCCAGTGTAGAAGCCAGCAGGAACATTAAGAGGCAATTCACAGTATTGAGTATGGTATTATGTTCCAAAACATGTGTTTTACCCCGTAGTGCATTGCAGTGACATTCATGTTGAATAGCATTCCACTGCACCTAGGACACGCACTTGCATTATAGTGCATCACGCAAATGTGAACCAGCTGTGCATTGTGGTGAACATGAATGCAACATATAGTGTGAATAAAGCCATAGGCTATGTTTACACAGGTGTCTAAAGGGGACACTTGGCACCCTTTTTTTTTTTAGCTGCCAAAACTCTCCTCTTCCCCTCAATTGCCGATTTCAAAAGAACCAGTGGGCTGTGATTGTTGGACATTGGGTCCGGGCTCACTGACCTGAGTTTTTCATGCACTATCCCATTCAGTGACCCATTTTGGTGACTACCTTGGTGGCATTCATGGCAGGAGCCAAATGGAGCCTTCTAAAGGCTAATCTGCCTTGTATGTAGTGTCCAGGTGGAGGTAGCCTTAATGCTGAGCTCTAGGCAGATGAAAAGATAAAAATTAAAGCAGCTCTGTAATAATTAGTACGTTAGTAAATGTGCTTATTAAGTCCAAGTAGTGTAAGTAACTTAATTTGACCTGGTATTGCCTCTTACAATCCCTATGTAAGAAAGCTGAAGTTTGAGAGAAAAATGCAGCCCAAGAAGCCAATTAGTTAATGAGCCAATAAGAAGCATCCTGATACACAGAAAGAACAGCGTGATAGAGAGATGAGCTCATCACTGTGCTGCTTCTACTTTCACTGTCTAGTCACAGGGTGGGGGCACGTCCGGGATGGCCTGGGCTTAGAGAAGAAGGTTCAATGATGTTGGCCATCGGACTGGGACCATCTAGTGGTGGAAAAAAAGTACTGCTGGGAAAATCTCTAAAGGGGGAGTATTGCTGCAAAAGCTGGTTTTGATATTTTATCCATTGTTAATGGCTATGCAATATCATTTTATTTTTGGCTGGAGTTCTGCAATTTAAAGTGTGTTGCCACCTTTGCAGTCAAATTTAGAAAAACCCCGCTATATAAAACGTGTGTTATCCCAATTTGACTGCAAAAGTTGATATACACTTTAAGGACCCTGCATGGGCCTTCAATGACGGCAATAGAGAAGGCTAGAAAACTCTAAGCAGACCTTCAGTGTTTCAAGCTCTGAGATTCAAGTGATGTTACTGTCTCAGACGGGTTGTTGAATGAGGCCGGATAGTAGACTTTACACAGATGACTTACTAAGTGAACCCTAGCACCCCTTCTATTTTTAAGGAAGCTTTTCACCTAAATTGCACTATTTATTCACACAGATATCAGAGAGTCTGACCACCCATTATTTATAAGAAGGGCTCATACGCAAGCACTAAAAGCTTGCACTTGTCCAAAGTCACCCCAGCCCGCCAAATCCTCCTATTGTTCCTAGCACTTTAATTGTATACGTGTGTTTTTTGTCCTTTTTTCTTATATTCATAAATGTTGGTAGAGAATTCTAGTAGAAGAGTCTTCTGCATAAACCTACGTGCTGCCATTTTGTGCCCAGAGCCAGTGTTGATGTGATGCAGCCTGTCTGAGATTGTGGCGGTATGGCTGCCTCCATGTCCGTCCATGCAAAACTGGGTGGGTTTGGTAGGAGGAATCCTTAAGGAAACATTTACTCTTTTCCATTTTGGTGTGTTGCATTCCTTTTAATGACATCCCAATGCACTAACCCAACTGACTGGCGCACCACAGTGCACTACCATTGGGTTGGGATGCCATTCAAAAGGAATGGTAGTGCAACACAAAGGTCAATGGGCCTTAAGGGACTCCACTGATCTTCCTGTTGGAGTTTGTAGTTCTGTTCACTATCACCGTGTAGTCACTTGCTGTATATTCCATAATATTGAAAATAAAAAAAAGTTGAAAAGTAAAACGAGACTCTGCCTCATGAATACAGTGGACGGGTGGGCCAGTGAAGGCGAATGCAGAGCTCATCTGCATGGACGCCCCCTAGAGTTATAAAACAAGACTCTGCCTCATGAATACAGCAGACGGGTGGGCCAGTGAAGGCGAATGCAGAGCTCCTCTCCATGGATTCCCCCTAGAGTTATAAAACAAGACTCTGGCTCATGAATACAGCAGACGGGTGGGCCAGTGAAGGCGAATGCAGAGCTCATCTCCCTGGACGCCTCCAAGAGTTATAAAAAAAAACAACAAGTCAATATGTTGACAAACTGAAATATTAGTTTTAAGTAGACATGTGCATTCAAACGAACCTGCAAATCAACAAAAGTAAGTTGGTTCGTCCGAAATAACTTATTTTATTATATGCCCGAATATAATAAAACTATTTTCGGGCATACATAAATTAATTTGCAGAACGAGCGACGGGCATATTGGCCGCCAGTGTGTTCTGCGTAGGCGCACTGCTATCTTTGAGTATATCTTGGTATACACGACGATGGCGGCACCCGAACATATGGGCGCCGCCATCTTGGTGTATACCAAGATACACTCAAAGATGTCGGCTTGCAAATGCAGAATGCCAGTGGCCAACATGGCTTCCGCTCGTTCTGCATATTCAGTGTGCGGTTTCGGATTCAGAGACTCGTTGCCTCCGAAACAGCAGAAAAATTTGTTTTGCCGTGCACATGTCTAGTTTTAGGTGGGGTTAATCCTTTAAATGTAACTCTAGGGGGCCCTTGAAAGAGATAGGAAGGCTGCCATTGATACGGTGGACCTAGCATCTGATTTTCTTTCCTGTAAAGTGTGTGCACGGTAAGTGATGGGTACGTGTAACACTTCCAGGTATTTATTACTTCTCACAGAGATCACAGTACCCCCCTGACAATGCCTTTTCTCTGCAGAAAGGGCAGAGCCATCTTTGTTTCAGGCATCAAGGGATGGAGCCATCCTTGTTCAGGCATCAACGGATGGAGCCATCTTTGTTCAGGCATCAACGGATGGAGCCATCCTTGTTCAGGCATCAACGGATGGAGCCATCTTTGTTCAGGCATCAACGGATGGAGCCATCCTTGTTCAGGCATCAACGGATGGAGCCATCCTTGTTCAGGAATCATCCACATTCAGCATCTACTTCCTGGGCTGAGACACCGGCTCAGGAAGTAATGTAGATCTTAATGTCTGAACTGGTCTTGGCTCTCTTCACAAATATCTGATACAGATCGGCCCCTGCTGCAGCCTCCCGCCTAGTGACTTGCTACAAAATTACCCATGTATACTCTGATCACTGGGGGGAGAGGAGACTTAGGAAAGACTTCTTCCTTCCTGCAGCAGACTGATGACATCATCTCAGCTTAGGCAAAGCCAGTGGCTTTTTAATAGTAAATGGTGGAGCTGGTTTGAATAAGTATCCTGTTGCATAATATCGTGATATGATAGTAATTTTATTCATGCAAATTTGACCAAATAACTAGTCCGTTAAGGTGAGAAGGGACTAAAGCAATCCAAAAGCCCTCCATCCGAATCCGTGGCACAGTAAAGTCTTTACTACTATTTAGTAAAAGGCTTTGTCACTATTCAAGCAAAACTAGTTTTGGAAACTCTGACCCTGGAACAAACCACGCAGATGTGAAACTTTAGAGTGAGGTCAGAACTCGGGATTTAATACTTGTTCCAAGTTGGTGTCTTTAGAAAGAACTGAAGCCATCGGCATGACAGCCAGGGAACAAGTATGTTCAGTGGTAACCAATGGCAGCCTCCATACCTCCTCACTACAGGTTCCCTTTAAGGCCGAATCAGAGTCTGTAACACGATCGGCACAATGGCAAGCCTGCCAGCGTCGGATAAAATGTCTGTAGACCCGGAAATGCTTTTTTAATACATTTTGATCAGTATGGACAACCCCTTTCACTGTATGTCTCCAGTTATACTCAAGCACCTAATTACTCACAAATCAATGTAGCATTTTCTCAGTAATGTCGCTGTGTGTCTTGTCGCATGTAAAATAATTTGTTATAAAAAGTTGGGAGAATAAAAAAAAAAAATCAGTTTTAAAGTGTTCTTGTCTTTGTCAACCATGGCGGCGAGAAGCGTCCTGCAAATTCGGTTGTCAAATTTGAGCGAAACTTTGATCATTTGTCTCGTGAGTCTGGCTTCAAGTGCAAAGCGACAATTTAGAATGATATTGTATCTAAACCCCAGAACAAAAATGTAATTTGCTGCTGGTTACTATTCCTTTTTTTTTTTCCTTCAGTATTTTTCTCCTTTATTTTCATGGTGATTCGACCAGTAACACACTTCCTGTGCTTTGGTGACAACATACACTCACTGTAAAGTATAGGTGTCACTCTAGGACCATAAGTGTGTTAGTACTGCAGAACAGCTCCTCCTCTTCATAATATGGGGGACGGGTTCTCTGGTCCTTTTTAAGCCCAACTCCAAGGAAATTAAAGGTTTTCCCTCGCAGTGGGGTTGCCCTAACACTGCAAAAGTTAACTGCTCATTTATGCCTAGGTAACAGGAAAATGTTGTTTGACTTACCTGATCCCCACTTACCCTGAAGTTGGCGCCCTTCTCTTCTCCCTCGCTGCTCTGGCTGTGGACTGTTCCTCAGCATCCTTGTGTGCTATTCTGGGGTGAAGGGGAAAAGAGGCTCCAGGGACCAGTCTAGCAGGCCGGAGCCAGCCAGCGGGAGCAGGTATCGCACACCTAAAACAGCTTTTACCTTTTACTGCTCATTTATGCCTAGGGGGGCAGGAGAAAGCTGTTTAACTTACCTGATCCACGCTCTACCCTTCCCCCCCCTCCTCTCTGGCTGTGGATTGTTCCTCAGCATCCTTGAGTACAATGCTGGGGCGAAGGGAAAAAGAGGCTGTGGAGACCAGTCCATCAGCCTGATGGGAACTAGTGCGAGCAGGAACCAGGTAAGTAAAACCGCTTTTCCTGCACCCTAGGCATAAACGAGCAGTTAACCCTTGCAGTGCAGGGGAAGCCCCACAGCTAGGGAAATGGAGTTGGGCTTTAAGCTGACCATACACAACAAAAGCCATCGATTTCCTCCTCCATGCTTCATGGAAGGATCCCTGCTGCCAGCTATGGGTGGACCTTTTGGCATTACCTTGACCACCTTCTGAAGGTTTGAGGTGGGCGAGGTAATGCCAAATGGGCCACCCATGACTTGAATTTTGACTGATGACAACCATGCTTTATGTTATAAAATATTGTTACTTCCCCACCCTCCTAAGTGTTGCCTACCTGTGCTTGTAATTACCTTTTAGTTCCAATCCAGAAATTTTCACTGTGAAGCCCCACTCCAAGCCGTACAGCCAAATAAATAAATCGGGGTGCAGTAATAAGCACCCATTTCTGGAGGACAGGCTTTGTGGTTCAGAGAAGGGCGACACAGTAAAGATCACTGGATCAGAGCTAAAGGTTTGTATAACATCCAGAGAAGCGGGGGCGGTGACCAGACCTGTCAAAGACCAGGAAGAAGAGAGGTTTTGGGGGCCTGGCTGTAGGCCAAATTGTAATTTTTTTTAAACTCCGCCCGGATTTAGTTTTGAATATACTTTTTAGGCACGGAAACATATTTATGAGCCTTAATTGGCTGGAATTCTTTCTTATTTTTAAGAGCAATTATAAAATATAGTCCTCTCCTAAAAAGAGAGTGTTAAAGTAAATTAAACTTTTAGGCCATTTTTACACATGTGTTGCATAAAAATGTGTGTTTTACTGTACATTACTTTAATACATGGCACTCTGTGGTGGATTGTGGTGCCATTAAGTTTAAATGGCACCACATTGCACAGGTGCCAACAGACCCTTACTGCAGCACACCACAGCACACATACCATGTGTTAATTAAAAAAAAAAAAGTGTATTCTAATTCACCTCGTTAATGCTGCACGTGCATGCATTCCTGCCCTCTGGAAACAGGACTCTCCTCCCACCATTCAGCTCTGGTTTAGCAAGATTTGGGATATCAGACACATGGAAGACCTCACCAGTTCTCTCAAGGGAACGGTGGTCCGGTTTTGCGATACGTTTTGCGATACGTGGTTCTGGTGGGATGAGTTTGCCTCTTCCCAGGAATACCTGAGTCTCCTAAAGTGAGGCTCCCATAGTGGTTTTCTTCTCTGCACCCTTTCTCTCTTGTCTCCTCTTGTCTCCTCTACCCTTCTTTCCCTCTACTCTCCCATTCTGTGTCCCCATTTCCCTTTTCCTTTTCGTTGCTGGCGATTGGCATTGTTAGCCTCTCCGGCTCATGTTAGACGTCCATGAGTAGATTGTTAGCTTGGCCACGACGTGGATGCGCCCGTTGGCAGCTGACGACCTTGCGCACTTTCCGACACCCAGTCAAATGTACACCCACAATGCACTTGAGCAGGGTTGGCTGCGCTTGATCTCGAATAGTTCTAATGAGCATTGTACTATATTTGTTTTGTGTGTACGTATTTCCCATTTCTGTGTAAGGTGGCTGCGTCCACTGAGAGTGTTGTTTGCGAGCCACATTGTGCTTTTTGTTACCGTTGTTTGTTAGCAAAAAACTTTGCTACATAAAAGAATTTATAAAAAAAAAAAGTAGTGCAGGTCCAGTTTTAGTTCTATCACCATGCTAAATGAATGGTCTGCCTTAACACATTTGCACCAAATATCACATTCTATTGTGTCCGTGGTGAGGCAACAGAACCAGCAGATGTGAAAAGGGCTCTAAATGCAACAAGAGCATTTTCTACTGAATTTCTTGAAAGCCTCCTTGACCTCCATACTCTTTAATCCATAAATAAATGGATTTAGCAGTGGCGTGATGAATGTATACAGCAAAGCAAATATCTTATCATGTTCCCCGGAATAGGAGGCTGGGCGCATGTACATTAGAAGGACCGTGCCGTAGAACATGCAAACCACGGTTAGATGGGAACTGCAGGTGGAGAACGTCTTGTGCCGACCTTTCGCAGATGGAATCCTGATTATCGCGAGGAGAATATAAACATAAGACAGCAGAATACATAAGAATGGAGTGCAGACAATGAAAATGCCGGCCACGTATATCACAATCTCATTCAACACAGTGCTCACGCACGATATCTTCAGCAATGGTGTGATGTCGCAGAAGAAATGGCCAATTTGGTTGGAGGAACAGAAGGACAAGCGGGCAGCCAAACCGGTGTGCAGGGCCGCATTCAGAAAGCCACTAAACCACGACAAACCTGTTAGGCAAACGCACAACCATCTTGTCACTCTGTCCACGTAGTGCAAAGGACAGCAAATGGCTACATAACGATCGTAGGCCATGACCGCCAGGAGGAAGCTCTCCGTTTGCCCAAATGAGATAAAGAAGAATAGTTGGGCGAAGCAGCCGCCAAATGTTATAGTTTGATCGTCCAGAAGAAGACCCACCAGCATCTTGGGGAAAGTCACTGTGGTGTAGCACATATCCAGAAAGGAGAGGTGGCCCAGGAGCATGTACATGGGGGCCCCAGACAGGTTGCTGTCCAAATGGACGGCAGCCATAATGGCTGAGTTCCCGAGCAAAATTAGAAGGTAGATTGCCAAAAAAGAGATGAATACAAAGCATTGTATTTGGGGATTGTCCGATAGTGCTTGGAGCACAAAGTAGGTACCTGAAGAAGCGTTTTCTTTTTTCATATCTTATTACCTGCGGTGAGGGCAGAATTCCACATCAATCATTCAGTTTATAGAAACATTTTTTTGACGACGTTTGCTGTGCTTTTTACTTATTTCCTAATTAACTTCATGTGTGAGCCTAACTGAAATAAACAAATGCGCAACGTTGTCATATTATGTTCAGGAGTCAAGACTAAGGCCTTATTCACACGAGAAAAGGCCGGCACGTACAGCTCCGTGCTGCGTGCACGGCCGTATCGGGCAGCTCCCGGGAAGGACAGGTGCTGCGTGTGTTTAGTACGCAGCCCCTTCCTTCTCTATGGGAGTACGCGGCCATACTCCGCCCTTTGCTCACCCCAAGTGCAGTTCCGTATGGGTGCGGGTGTCCCGGCTCGGACGCAGACAGGATCCATCCCGTCAGCGTACAAGTACGGACACCCGCACCCATACGGACGTGCAGGGCGGCGTACGGCCGCATAGTCTCATAGAGAAGGACAGGGGCTGCGCACTAATCACACGCAGCACCTGTCCTTTGTTGGAGGTGCCCGATACGGCCGTGCACGCAGCACGGAACTGTTATGTGCCGGCTTTCTCTCGTGTGAATGAGGCCTAAAGGTTAAAACATGTTAAGGATATTTGTTTTTAGGCAGATAAGTGTAGAATGGTTAATGTGGATGTTTCCTATTTTCCATTTGCCAATTGCAGACAGCAGATGGTGCTGCTCACCTAGTTTTTCTACTCTGCCGAGTCTTTTTACTACTACACCATGTATAGGCTGTTATATGATCTGCTACACACACACTGTGGAATGATTCAGAGGAGGAACATCCTCTCCTCCCCTCTGTCTCCATCTCAGTCAGCCCACATGAGTTTTCAATTAGACAGAGAAAGCTAGGAAGTGAGCTGCTCTTATCAGAAAGCCCAGTAATCTCTTCTGATACTGTATCATGGAAGCACCCTTAGAATTACATTTAATTGCAAAATAAAGCACTGCTAGCCACTAGAGAAAAATGAATTTCAGCCCGTGTTGCAGTCTTCATGGACATTGGACTCCTGAAGGTAATGTCGATATTTTACACAGAATTTTCACAGCTGCTGTCATGGGGATTGCTAGAGAGCTGTGTGACATGAGAGCTTACAAAAGCCTTCATACTCAGATGCCGTTAGATTGGACAGCATTGGAAAAGCAAAGGTCATTTTAGGACCAAGTGGCATCAAAGCAGAGTGTTGGTTGTTACTGAAGTTGGATGATGGGATCGGATTAAAAAATAACTTTCTAATTTAAAGCCTATGTTCTCATCCTCCTTGCATCAAACTCAAGCAGCTAAAATTTTAAGTGTATCTAAACCTGAGTATCAAAATATATTGTACGGCAGCATTTTTACCTGGTGGTCCAGCCAGTAACACTTCCTTAGGGCACCGACACTCACTCCTCCACTGTATCATTGGAGGAACAACATAGCCACCCTTGGACAGCAGCAGTGTCAGCTTGTGCAGTGAGTAGTGTTAGATGGACTAGTAGATTTTGTTGGGGTTAACTTGAGCACCCATTCACACCTGAGTGAATGGTCAAGGGATTCTCATAGCGCAACAATGCTCAGCATGAAGAATCCTTTTCATTTTAATGGTGCCTATTCCCACATGTGTGTTGTGTTGCTTGTAGCTCCAAATAGCACATGAGCAGAATCACACATTTTTGGCCCCATAGACTTCAATGGAAGGGCCTGAAAACGCACTTTTTTTACTTGCATGATAACACTTTTTAAGCAGTTACAAAACATTTTTTATACCCATTGGGATAAAGGTTTAAACTGAATAAATAAAGCTGACCAATGTAAGTGTTCCTGTTGGTGTATTTTATGCTTTGCTACACTGTTCCAAAAACTGTCAGCCTGTAATCCTTTACCCATGGGCATGCTGGGTACTGCACGCACGACCCTACCTCTGCTCCATAGACAATACATACAAACAGTTGTGCTACTGGTGACACCACTTCCTATAACCTTTATTGACACATCACGAGTACGTGCTGCAGTCCCTGCCTGCTGGGTACCGCACACACGACCCTGCCTCTGCTCCATAGACAATACATACAAACAGTTGTGCTACTGGTGACACCACTTCATATAAACTTTATTGACACAGCATAAGTATTTGCTGTAGTCCCCGCCTACACACCGCCCCACTAATGTATTTCGCCCATAAGGACTTAATCATAGAGACATTACAGCTCTACAGATAAGCCCTTACAGGTGAAACATGTTAGAGGGGCAGTGCCTGGATACGGAATGTGGCGTGTTCTCATGTTATGTCACTAAAGTTTATCTGGAGTGATGCCACCGGTAGTGCACCCCTATCAGTGTTATATGGTTTGCCTCATCTGCCTATGTACCACTTTTGCTGGACAGCTTGGCCTGCTAAGGGAAGAATAACAAACTAACTAAATCACCATCTAATACAACTATACAGTGGCATCACAAGGAAGGGGGGTGCGGCACACACCCTGGTGACACCATTGGAGGGGTGACACCAAAATGACTGACAGTCATTTTGGTGTCACCCCCCTCTGAAAAGTCGGGCACTCGGTAATGGACCAAGATGGCCGCTGGCAGAGATCAATAAGATTGCCACGCATGCGAGATGACGTCATCACGCACTTGCGTGGTGACGTCACGCACATGCGCATTGATATCACGGCGGGGTGTCACCTGGTAACTGCTCCGGGTGGTGTTGTGTTAATCCTGTTGACTGACAGAATTGCAACACCTATGTCATTTTTAACATATGTAACATCTGTCATTCCACTGCCTGTCAAAATGCGTATAAACTGCATGTAAGGATGTAACGTGTGAGTGAACCCCAGAGGAGATGTTCCTTTATACTATAAATATAAAATGTGTAACTATCGTGACTAGAAATCCTGAATTTATGGGCCCCGGGACCCCCTGCTTACCCTGCAAGCTGCAATTATGACTCATTATAAAAGACAAATACTTACGGCTTTGTTACCCAAATCAATGAGGTCATTGACCTGGTTAAGGCTTTTTAAATTTTCACATCTATAGCTAATGCCGTAGAAGCTAAAATATATGTCTATAGGTGGCAGGCATCTGTTGTTATCATGAATGTGTACAGAGAGATAGAATTTATTAGATCTGTTTATATAGCTCACTAATTAAGTTCTAAAATTCCCTGGAGTGAATATTATAATATAAGGGTAGAGCCCTGTGGAAATGTTACCTGCAGGTATCCAATTTGATAAAGGTCTCACAGGGAGTATGATAAATATTTTCTTTACAGTCTATTGTGATTGTTATCTCTGAAAAACACACCTAGTCTAAAAATAATACAACGGCACAGTCTGACTTGTTCATTAGGCGCTTTATTATTAGCCGTGATGAACCAATTAAGGCATTGGTCTTACATCTTTCGGCGGCTACAATGAGGATATTTTCCTGCAGTAGATTGTGTCCCTGCCATCCCCTCACAAGGACACAATGAAAATGTTAGTTTCTAAGCCATCAGGCCGATGTGACGCCTTCATTTTGGCTTTCTAATAGGCCTGACAGTTGGAAAGAGCTGGAAATTCAAGTTGGATGTCCAATATGGCCAAAGTGGACACCCCTCCCAATTACTGAGCTCAGGTGTTTTCAGTGAAGGTTACTGGTAATGCTAAAACTTACAAAGATATTTTGGACAATTGTGCACTTACAACCTGGTGCTGTTTTGGCGAAAGCCATTTTCTATTTTAACATGACTGAGCCCCTGTGTACAAAGCCAACTCCATATAGACATAATTTTATGGTTCTGGTGTGGAGCAACTCCAGTAGCTGCTAAGAACTTTGACCTCAACCCTACTGAACTCCAACTGCGAGCCAGGTCTTTCCTGATCTCACAAATGCTCTTTTGGCTAAACTCCCAAAGATTCAATCCAAAACCTTTTTAAAAGCCTTCTCAGAAGAATCAAAGAGGAGTCTTCCATATTAATGCCCATAGTTTTGAAATGGTATGTCCAGCAAACTCATAATGGTAATGGTCAGGAGTCAACAAGCTTTTGGACATATCCGCCAGTCTGACTTTAGAACGTTAGTAAATGTACTCCTGTGACCCAAAACAGTAGTAAAGGCGAAAAACAAATGTTTGGCTTTATTTCTCTTTCAAAAGAATCAATCTGAACCAATCACTACATCATTAAGAGTAGACTTGTGCACCACTGAAAATCTTGTTTTGTTTTATTTCCATTCAGATTTTTTTTTCATTTTCTGAAATTTGGAGCCGTTCGAGATTCAGAATTCGGATCAATTCAAAGTTTTTGTTTTCGAAAATGTGGATCTTTTGGAATCGATTTGGATGGAGTTCGGTTGTTTTTAAATGTGAAAATAATAATAAAAAACAGCGTGGGGTTCCCCCTCCAATTCATAGCAGACCCTTTAGGTCTGGTAGAAATTATAGGGAAGGACTCCATGCCAAAATGAAAAAAAAAATCCCTTACCAGACCCTTGATCTGAGCAGCAGCCTGGCAGAGCAGGAAGGGGGGGACAAGCGTGCCCCCCCCTCCTGCACCAAACCCGGCCACATGCCCTCAACATGGGCAAGGTGCTTTGCTGGGGGGGGGATCCCCTGGCAAAGTACCTTCTCCCCATATTGATGAGGACAAGGGCCTCTTCCCCACAACCCTGGCCAGGTGGTTTTAGGGGTCTGTGGGCACGGGGGTTTATCTGAATCTGGGTGCCCCCTTTCATAAATTCTATTGGAATCGATTTGGATGAGGTTAGGCTGTTTTTAAATGTGAAAATAATAATAAAAAACAGTGTGGGGTTCCCCTCCAATTCATACCAGACCCTTTAGGTCTGGTAGGAATTATAGGGAGGCACTGCATGCCAAAATGAAGAAGAAAAAAAAGCGTGCCCCCCCATCTTACACCATGCCAGGCCACATGCCCTTAACATGGGCAGGGTGCTTCGCTGGGGGTACTCAGATCCCGCACCCCCCTACTGAATAATTAAGGGGTAGTTGTTATTCACCAAATAACAGTACAATAGTAAATAAACACACCACACCGTGCAAAAAAATCCTTTATTTGGAAAAAAAACCAGTACACAGATTTTGACAAGCTCTTTATCCCCCCAAAAATGTCCATTGATGTAATACCCAGATCAATCACGTCGTCCAGCGATGTATATCCTCGTCAATCACAATGTCTGCTGCTTGCCTACTCAGCAAAAAAAAAAATGCCCCACTACCCAGGCACCACGTCTGATCCCAACGAACACCAGCCGCAAGTGACAGGTCAGCTCTGGAAGGTAAATGAAGGGCCAGATGGAATGCACACAAAGTTTGTTTACATTTAGGAGCAGAGCTGTCATTAGCATAGAGAGTTCGTTAGGTTCTGACGTGGCAGCAGGGTTTTTTTTGGTTTCAGCGAGTGGCGGGCATTGTGATTGAAGAGGATCTACATCACTGGACGACGTGATTGACATGGGGAATACATCAATGGGCATTTTTTTTTTTACACCATTCAGGGAATCCTACTCCTTCTTCTCCTCCTTCTCCTCCTCCTTCCCCTCCTCCTACTCCTTCTCCTACTCCTTCTTCTCCTTCTCCTCCTCCTACTCCTTCTTCTCCTCCTCCTACTCCTTCTTCTCCTCCTTCTCCTCCTCCTTCTTCTCCTCCTCCTACTCCTTCTTCTCCTTCTTCTCCTTCGACCATTATAGACATGGACAACAATATGTGTTATCTTTGTTGTTACATTATCTATATTTTGTATCTTATTGATTGTTTTATCCCATATTTTGTAATGCAAATTGTTTAATATAAAAAAGTTGAAAAAATGTTATCAGCCCTGCTCAGTTCCCCTCTCTGGACTAAAAAACACCTTCCCCTATGTATTGCAGACCTGTGTTGTGGTCATGTCCTAGGGTGACAGAATTACTCCTCTATTGAACCCCATTGACCACATGTTGATTGTGTGGTTGAATATGGTGTGTGAGTGTAGTCCAAGGACAGGAAGTGTGTTACTGGCTGGATCACCAGGTGAAAATAAAAAGAAAAGAGCCTTAAAAAAGAAAACGAATGCAGCCAAATCTTTGTTCTTGAGTTTGAATACACTTAAATATATTTGGAATACATTGATCCCTTTACATTTGCCTAAAGTTCTCTTTTAGGGTTTAGGTTTTTATACTTCTTGATAAATATTTTCTTCATTGCCCCCTTCACATCATTATTCTTCAAGCAGTAGATGGGAGGGTTGAGCAGAGGAGTAAGCAGTGTGTAAAATATGGACACCAGTCTATCGATGGACAAGGAGTAACTGGACTTTGGGCGAAAGTACACAAACATGGCACCAAAATAGAACATGCTCACCACGGCCAGGTGGGAGCCACAGGTGGAGAAGGCCTTTCTTCTGCACTCGATGTATGGAATTTGCAGAACTGAAGTGATGATAAAGGCATAGGAAAAGAAGGTCAGGACAAAGGGGCTCAAGCTGAAAAGACTGCCGGTACAAAAGAGCACAATCTCATTAAGGTAAGTTGCCGAGCAGGAGAGCTTCAGCAATGATGGAATCTCACAAAAGAAGTTATCAATGATCCTGGGCTGGCAGAAGGAAAGTTGAAAAGTGAAGATGGTGTGGATGGAGGATTGTAGGAAACCTGCCATCCACGGCATAGTGGCCAGAACCAGACAACGTCTAAAGGTCATTGTTTCTGTGTAGTCGTGACCGCGTGCCTGACTGAATTTCCACTCGCCCTCTCTTTATTTCCACTCGCCAAATGCGAGCTGGCGAGTGGAAATTTTGAGCCCTGGTGTAGAGGCTTACAGATTGCCAAATATCGATCATAGGTCATGACCGCCAAAAGCCCACATTCTGTGCTGGCCTTAGAAGTGAAAACAAAGAGCTGGGTGACACAGCCAGGGTAGGAAATGGACCTGTCTTTGCTTATCACATGAATGAGAAGTTTAGGGATGGTGACGCAGGTGTGGCAGATGTCCAGCAAGGAGAGGTCACCAAGGAACAGGTACATGGGGGTGTGAAGCTGGAGATCCAGGCTGATGATCAGAATGGTGATGGTGTTACCGAACACGGTAAGGCTGTACAGCACCAGAAACACCAGGAACACTAAGACCCTCTGGTTCTGAAGATGGGAAAATCCCAGAAGAACAAAATCCAAACCAGATGTCTCATTCTCTTTAATCATCTCAATAACGTGAACCTAAAATAGATTTATCGATACAAATAATAAACTTTAAAGATTAATATTCAACTTCCAAATTCTCTTTTTTTCACTAGGTTATTCTATGAATGATATACTTCCTGTCCCTGGGTGGCTGTGTTCACTTTTCCATTGTATCTATGAAGGGAACCAGTGTTGCTACCATGGGTGGACATCAGACATGTCTGTTCATCTCCATTACATGAGTGATATGGAGATCTGTATGTTATAGAGGAACGATAAGGTTCTTTGTGCTTTCCGTTAGGTGACAGAGATGAGGCAATCCTGGCAAAATAAACAGGTATCTCCTCTACTTACTGAAAATGGGCTTAGCCCCAAAAATTAAAACTAATGCATCCACCACCTCTAAGAACTAGTAAACTGAAATATATAACATTTCTGTTTTTGGGTTTAGGTATCCTTTAAGTGAAAAATTCTCATGAGTAGAATTCATTTCCCAAACTATCACCATCGTATGTCTAGGATACAAGTGCTGCAAATACACATAGCAGCCATAGATAGTCTGTTGTTTTGATCTGATAAATTACTTTGACATTTGTTTTTATTTGAAGAAACAACTAATATTATTATAAGTTTTAAATAATTCAGGTCAATATTTAAAGACACTCATCTGAAAAAGATTTAAAAAAAACATACCTCTTTCTTTGTAGAAGAGTATAGGTCTTGTCCTGATGATGAGGTTTTCAAGCCTGTGAAAGGAACCAGCCACAGTCAGGAGACGGTAGGCTTGGTATTATAGGTTGTGTTATTTGCTAAGGGATCCCATCCCTACTGCATAGCCAGATCATTAAACCTAAATCTGTAATTAAACCAAGGTAAGAAAATAATCTGTGATGTAACCTGTTTATTTACTTGTCAGTTTGATGATCCAAAAAACCCCAGCTTTATATTCTTTTCTTTTTTTCATACTGTTTATTTACAGGTTTATTCACAAAAGGGTGAAGAGTTTGGAGAAGGCCGGAGAAGGGAACAATCTCTAGGACAGCATAGCTGAACTGGAAAAGTTCTCCAATTCAGCTCACTTTCCAGTTCAGCTATGTTGTCCTAGAGCAGCAGTTCTCAACCTGTGGGTCGGGACCCCTTCGGGGGTCGTATGACAATTTGCCAGGGGTCGCCGGGAGTCTCCCGCTATTGGATAGCGGCTCCCGGCCGCCCGGGAGAGAAACACTTTCTCCCGTAAAGGTTTAATCTGCTCAATCGAGCAGAGTAAACCTTTTGCTGTGATCATTTTTAATTTTTTTAAATTTATTTCTGACCGCAGCCCTGGCCGCCGTACGTCAGAAAAAATTCCTATTGGCTATTTCACTTTGCAATAGCAAACTAACTATTACACCTGCCCACTGCTGCTGTCAATCAGCAGAGGGGGACCTGCAGTTCTCCATCAGGTCCCCATCTAGTGATTATCATCATTATCATTAATAATAAAAGCTGACACCCTCGGCTTGCGTTATATGGTTTGCCATTTTAGCTATTACAGTAGTGGTTCTCAACCTGTCGGTCGCTGTGTGATTTCTGCTGTGCTAGGTGAGAGTCCTCCTCAGCCCTCTCCTAGTGCAGCAGTGTCAGTTCTCCCGCCACATGTCGCTGCCGCAGCCGCGTCAACCCTAAATGTTAGCGTTGGGGGTCACCACAACTTGGCAAGTGTTACAAAGGGGTCCCGGCCCTAGAAAGGTTGAGAACCACTGTCCTAGAGATTGTTCCCTTCTCCTGCCTTCTCCAAACTCTTCACCCTTTTGTGAATAACCCTGTTAGTGATCTTTTAAATGTCCATTGTGCCCAGTAGGCATGGCAGCTCAGTAGACATGTAGAATGATTCCATAGACAACTGTTTATCACTAGCGTAAGCAGTTCCCACAGTTCCACTCAAGCAAAGACCAGAATCACACAGAACCTATTGGGCAAAATAGATTGCAGACCATGTATAGGACGGCGGAATAAGACGAGTGATACATATTTACAAGGAGAATGTTCTATTAACATGACATCATCTTTTTGGAAAATGGATATCGTAACGAAGGAAGCTTTGTAAATATGAAGGAAGACCCAGATGTTTGGTTTGTCCACATCTAGGATTCTTCAAAGTGACATAAATTCATAAGTTAAATCTTAAAAATACATTCAAGAACCTTAACTATTAAATTTTTTTTCTTCTTATTTGTGTATCACTCGGCTGTAGATACTCAAATCATCTCTGAATTGGTGCTGACACTGTCCTGCCTTCTGGAGGGGGGCTACTTCTGTTCCCCATGGTCCCTGTGTGTGGGGACCACTCCAAGCTTGCTCCCTGTGATGGACTACAGTCTAAATACAAATTAGTAAACTAAACATGAGATTGTAGTCCATCCCGGGAGTGAGCTTGGAGCAGTGACTACTTTACAACACACACAGGGACCATGGGGAACAAAAGTAAAGTATTGGAGTGGTGATACCGGGGCCTTGCACTGCCGACGGGCTTCCCAGTGAGGGGGTGGGTCCCGTGACTCGCCTCCCCTCCCGGCCGCGACCATAGTAACAGGCGGCGGGAGGGGAGGCACAGGAGACGTGTATGTGTCACACGCCCCGCCCCCTGCAGTGCACACATCGACACATGGCTGCTGCTATCCTGGCAGGGTGAGTCCGAGCGGGGGAGGGGGGAATATTACACTCCCCCCCCCCGGCTTGGGAGGGGGGCCCAAGATAAAATCTTGCACCAGGGCCCTTTGGTTATTAGGTCCGCCACTGGCTGCAATAGTCTTCTTTTTTAGGATAAGAACATTTTCAGCAAGCACAGCAAATACCTGTTGTTCTTACCAGAAACGCTATGTACGTACAAATCCCGTGAGTTGAATTGCAAACACAAACAACCAGGGCCGTCCTTGTAATGAGGCACATGCCTCAGGCGGAATCTCATTGGGTCACATGGCACCCACCGCCCCCTTTCCTGCCAGAGCGTCCCAGGTTGCTAAAAGGTCTTGGCAACCTGTGTTGCTCAGTCCGTCGTCCCACCCGGCTCACTGACCCAACTTGTTGCCAGGAGCTGAGGAGCATCCCACCCAGGTCCTGGCAACCAGTAACGTCAGTGAGCTGGGTGGGACGCCAGACAGATCTGGAGCCAGAGGTATTGTGTAATACCAGTGACGTCAGTGAGCTGGGTGGAACACTGGGCAGAGCTGGTGCCAGAGGTACTTTGCAATACCGGCGGGGGAGAGTTGGTGTTAATCATAGTGTTTCTGGGGGGTGAGAGGCGGATGTGTTAGACCTGTGCTGTCAGTGACTCTCTGTCTGGTTTCGTCCAGTTCACTGACATAACTGGTTGCCAGGAGCTCGGCGGGATGCCAAGCAGACAGTGGCGTAACAATCACCATAGCGACCCAGGTGGCCGCTATGGGGCCCGGCCAGGACATCTCCCTGATGCCGTGCGGGCCGCCTGGGTCGCTATGGCATCTGACTCGGACAGCCGCTGCTGAGTCGGTGACAACCAGCAGCTTCGGAGGAGGTGGCTGGGCCCGTCATCAGCAGCGATGGAGGAGGCGTGGCCTGGCGATCGAGGAGGCGTGGCCGGGCATTTGAGGAGGCGGGGCCCAGTGATGGAGGAGTCGATCATGGAGGAGAAGGAGGCGGACAGAGGATCAGGGCTGACAGGTAAGAGGGCTTGACCGCCCGCCTGAGACCCTGCAGAGCCCACCATAGAGTTCAGGCTGCTCATTATGGGGATGGCCCTGGTGGCAGCTGTGACAGAGAAAGGAGTAGCGGGCGATTTTTGGAGTATCAATGGGCAAGGTGCCAATGTTTCTTTATTTGTAAACCCAAATAATTTTTTTCCATATGTTTGGTATCATGCCTCGCTGTATACAGTTTTCCTATGCAAATTGTTTTTGTGTGAATCTTTTGCCAGGTTTCTTATCCTGAAGATCCTGCCAGTAACAGAACTTCCTGTAGCAGGATGACAACACTAAGCCACTTCCTCCCAATTAGCAGCAACGTTGTCAGCCTGTCGTGTGCCCTTCTTCACTTGGCTGTTGGGCTGCCTATCAGGTCTATCAGATAGGCAGCCCAATAACCAAATGAAGGAGCTTGCATGGCCAGGTGACAACACTTACAGGCATAAAACTCTACACAGTAAAGGTGGCCATACACTGTACAACCATCGCAAGACCTTAGTCTTGCGATGGTTGTAAAGTGATTAAAAAAACGTACGATCTGTCCAAGATGGACAGGCAGATCGCACTCTCGATCATCGCAAGCCCGCCCCCCTGAGGGGTGGGCTTCCGATGACCGCAATGCTGAACGGGCAGTGTGCGCGTGCGCACACCGGCCCGTTCGGCCTTTGTCTCCCGAGCACCGTTCAAACCAGCCGAAAATCGTACGATTCTCAGCTGGTTTTCTAACATGCTCCTTAGACAAAAGACGTGCGACCGTACAGTAGAAACGGTCGCACGTCTTCGTTCACACTGTTCGATTCTCGTACGATCGCGGGATTTCCCGCGATTCTCGTACGAGAATCAAGCAGTGTATGGGCACCTTAATACATGATGGCAAACATACTGAAAAATTTGGCTTTAAATCCACTTTAAGCCGTGAGTAGTCCTCTTTAAGCATCATTCATGGTGGGTTCTGTATACACACACATTGCTTTATTGTATTCACAGGATCAGTTCTTGCTAACCACCCTTTCTATAGTTAATAGAAACCTTCTCTGTTCATTTATTATTCTTAATTAAGCACGATGCAACAATTGCCACTGATTATCCATAAACAAAATGTTTTATTTTGGGACGTACAGTATAATAAATCCCAGAAGGATCTTAATGAGGAAACCATTGTTATGCCGCGGATAAAAAATATGTGCGCTTGTTACCTAAACAAATTGATTGAGTTGAGTTAATGAATCCCAGGTGACGAAGGTAACAAACAATTGTAATCATTGAATGTCTGGAAATAAGCCCTCTGGGCATGACACTGTATTGTGTTTACAGCTTCACCAATCTAATGTCTGTTTGAATGGGGCTGTCAATTGTTTTAAAGGAAATCTGTATTGAGAAATATGGGGGCTACCATATCTGACCTCATTGATTAAAGAAACTCCACTTTGTAAAATCACCTTGTTTTTGTGTACTGCGCCAAGCTAAAGTAGATGTAAACCAGAACCGAATGATATTTTACTTTATTAAGCACTGTGTATCATAAATCATTTCCCCTTTTTCAAATAAAATACTTGTTTTCCTCTTTTTTTCTATCCTTAGTTGCATCCCTCTGATGTTTCCTGTCTAAATTCATTTATTTCATGTACTTTAGGACACCAAAAATTTAAACACTGTACCTTCACATCAGCCCCAGCCCTCAAGGTCCCTATCTCACATGCATACACATACTAGACAGGAGCCAATTAACCTCAAAATATCTTTGGAAGGAAACACATGCAGGCTCAGGGAGAGCATACAATCTCCATGCTCAGTGGCGGAACTACCGCCAGTGCCCTAGCCTACAGGGGGCGGGGGCCCAGTATCCATTCAAACACAGCCCCGGGGCAGAGATTGGGGCGCGTTGGCGTCCGGCCGCCGGTTACCATGGGATCGGTATGCGGCGGGCCTCCCCCATTTCTGTGACGGGAGTGTCCGTTGATCACATTGGTGTCCGGCGGCTGGCGGGCCCCATCATCTCTGCGCCGGGAGTGTCGGAAAGATCCGACACTCCTGGCGCAGAGATGAAGGGGCCCGTTGGCTGCCGGATACTGTGGAGGGAGCCGAGAATAAAAAAAAACCTGCAGGCACTGCAGGGGGCAGCCCTGGGCCACGGCCGTGAGGACCCAGCGAACAGCTGCCTGAGTACACGGGTGTGCTGTCTCTGATACACACACTGGGGTGGTTTTCTGCAGCCTCCCCCACCAGAAAACAGCCAGAAGAGGTGAAGGTAAGTTAATAAATAAAATCATTATTGTATGTAACCCAATTGATGGCATTGCTGTATAAAGTACAGCTGGTATTTGTAGTTCTATATAGCAGGTCCCATTCTGCATTGCAGCAATGCAGAATGGCACCCTCTATAGAGGACTACAAATCTCACCACTGTCCATGCTGATAGTGTTCTGACCAGGATTTGAAGCAGAGACCCACAGTGCTGCAAGGCAGGAGGGATAACCACCAAGTTACTGTTCTGCCCAATAGAACATGTTAATGACCGGCCTAAAGTCTAAGGCTGCCATTGTACGGGTCCTTTTTCCACAGGAAACACATTTCAGCTCCTCAGGTGCTTCTACTGGCCCACAGAAAACTACTCTTCCTGGTTTACCAGCAATTGTCCCCATATTAAGTCTAGAGAGGTGGCCATAGGGCACTCTTCCTTTCCCTTTTCGGTTATGCAGCAATTAATTGATGAGGAAGGCAGGTTTATTTTTTTAATGAAGTGCAGATTATGCGATAGGGTGTTTATGTTGGCCAATGTTTACATTCCCAATCACAGTCAACCATCAACTCTTGTTCCATACTTGTTAGTCTAGGGGACTTTATGGAGGCAGTAAAGGTTCTGGAGGGATTTTAAATTGACATTGGATACCTCACTAGATACCTCCATGGGCTTCCCCCATATTTCCCTGTCCCAACTCAATGAACTGAAGAAGAGGCTATACCATCTTCAGCTGCTGGAGATTTTAATTTGACATTGGATCCCTCACTAGATACCTCCATGGGTTTCCTCCATGTTTCCCTGCCCCAACTCAATGAACTGAAGAAGAGGCTATACCATCTCTAGCTGCTGGACCATTGGTGTGTCCTGAACCCTTCAGCTAGAGATTACTCATGTCATTCTGTATCTCACTCAACTTATAGCAGGAATCACTTTGAAGTTTCACTGTGTGCTTCGTTGGGAGCTTCAGGGTTCTATAGAGACACAGCTTTGGTATGATCATTTTCAAATTTTTTTTTATTCATCTCCCTAGTACCTCCAAACCTTCCTCCTCTTGAAAGCTATTACAAGATCCCCCCGCTCGGGCAGCTGTCTCTAGATATTTTGGATCTCCTTCAGCTATTTCGAAATTCCTTCATGATCATGCTCACGATGAGACACTCCCACCTTAAGTGGGAAGCATGGAAATGTAGTGTGCGTGGAACCCTTATAGCACATGGTGGCCTCATCTATTACCTATTTTCTGAAATCCACTCTCTGGAGCTCTGAAATAAAAGCTCTAATGATCCATTGGTTTACCAGTCCCTACAATAGAAGTGTGTGGATCTCCATAAATTACTTGATTTGTCCTACCAATGCTATATGTACTGTTCTCTTTGATCTCTCTACAAGTTTGGCAATAAATGTGGTAGACCTGTTGCACAGACCATTAGGAACAAATGCATGTGGATGTACATCCCTAAAATTCATTGTCCCTCTTGATGTGAGTTTCTACAAGCCAGATTCCCCTTCCAGTAGGCCACAGATTCCATTAAGTGCGTGGGGGTACATATCCTGTCAAATGAGGGCAACACATTTGACCTTAAGTACCTACCATTATTGACTGCCATGCAATGCAGATTGGAGCTCTGGGCTTTCTAAAAAGCAGTTTTGGGTGGGTAGGATAGCCCTCTTGAAAATGGATGTCTTACTTTCTATACCTTTTCCATACATTGCACATTTAGCCTTCTTGCTCCCTTTTTAGGACTCGTAGATTGGCTTTGATTAGATATCTGTGACCCCGCTCACCGGCTCAGTTGTGTCATAATATTTTAGTTAAATCAATGCAAGCAGGATGGGGGAGCGGGATTACTGCATATGAAGCTACAGTATATCACATGGCAGCGGTCTTGAGCCGTATCAAGGGCTGTTTTTTTCACCCTAACACTAAACTATGGTGTCTATAGAGCAGAGTGCTACCCCTCTACTGCTCTACGTCCATCCCATGGGTTCGCTCATCTAGCTGGCCATCTCCACAATCTTTAACCCCCCCTTGTCTGCTCCTTCCTTGAAGTATAGGTTTCTGTGGTACATGCCTATTAAATTTCATCTTATGTAGGCCCTCTAACCCCTATTTTAGGCAATCCGGACTTTCCTCACTGTTTGTCCTGTCACAGATTCTTGAAGTGGTGCTCCTTGAAACCATCGCCTATTATGCAAGCTCTTACCTTGACTGGACTTCACCCTTTAGTGTCTTTGCTCCCAAATTACTCTTCTCCTGCTAGCTGATGACTCTCATATTTTTAGCTGAAGCATTGTTATGTGACCCTAAGTTCCATTGGACAGTTATCACGGGACCTGATGCCATTTGAGGAACTCTGTATGAAGTATTCGGATTGCACCCAGATTGTGTCCCTCCTCTACAACATTCTGTTGACCCATGCCTTTTCTACTCGCCTCTTTTATACCAGATAGTGGGAACGCGAGCTGGGACTCGCAAATTTTGGAATGCACAACAAGGAATGGGAGACAGTCTGAAACTAACTAGATGTGTGCCCCCATAATAATTCAAAACATAGGGAATGCCCTAAGCCGAGAAGAGGATGATGCTCAAATTATAGAAACTTCTGAACTTTGCTTCACCTAGCCACAAACTCCAAGTAATGGTCATGGAGGTGAGCTGTAAGCTACTCTCTCTGCATCAGGTGGTTAAGTTCACCAACCCACACCCAGACCTGTAGGATGGAGGTTGATCTCCAATGCCTAGGAATGAAGACTCTGCCAGCATATCGAGCTAAATACAGGAAAGGAGCTTTAAGATACCGACAAGGAGGTACAGATGCCCTGCAAAGGGTCTTTATGCACTTATATGATCATTGCTGGTGGTGTGGGACTGAGTAGGGCACCATGCTGCACATATGGTAGTCCTGCCAATGGATACAACCATTCTGGCAGTCTGTTTTTAAGATAGGCGATTGGCCAGAATCTCTGGAGGTGGCCTTACTATCCACCATTCTGGGAGCCTCAAGGCAGTTAAGAAATTTATTTTCCATTTTGGTCTCTCTGCTGGCAGAGTCCTGATTCCTAGGCATTGGATAGGTGATACAAGGATAGTGATACAAGGATAGGGGTGGATGTTTCATGTGTAGGGATAGGTGTAACATGGATAGGGATAGGTGATACATGGATAGGGATAAGTGAGACATGGGGCATGGGTGCATAGTTGCATACAATGAAACTGACATTTGTTTTCCATATCAAAAGCTTCTTGCTGAGGTGTACTGTACCAGGTTTCCCTTAGCCAAAAAAAGAGCAAGCACTACAGCTTACACTAGTATTAATATGCCATATAATAAAATCTCCGGAAATATTTTCTCAAAGCCCCCTTGACTTCTTTGTTCCTCAGGCAGTAAATTATTGGGTTTACAACTGGCGTCAGAATGCTGTACAGGAGAGATGCAAAGGTTTCCAGTTCAGCAGAGTAACCTGTTGGTCCAATATAGTTAAGGTTGGCAGTACTGTAGAACACTGTAACTACCATGAGATGGGAGGAACAGGTAGAAAAGGCCTTCCATCGTCCTGCAGAAGACTTGATCTTCATGATAGTGGAGATGATCTGGGCATAGGTCATAACAATATAAAGAAATGGGGTGAAGCCAAGGAACACGCTAATAACATATAATAATATTTTGCTGGTCTTGGTGGGGTTACAGGCTGCTTGTACCAATGGTGGAACATCACAATAAAAGTGATCTACACTCTCTTCCAAGTGACAGAATTTAAGTCTGGAAGTCATGACCGTATGAAGGATAGAATTGAAGAATCCACTCAACCATGATGCAGCTGCAAGACTGACATAAAGTTTTACATTCATGACCACCGGATACCGCAAAGGGTTACATATGGCAACAAAACGGTCATACGCCATCACAGCCAGAAGAATACACTCAGCGCCACCTAGAGAGACAAATAGATACAACTGTGCAATACATTTGACAAAGGAAATCTTTTTGTTGCCTGTCGCACTATTGAATATCATGGTCGGGAGAGTAGTCGAGGAGTAACATATGTCTAATGCAGAGAGATTGCTAAGAAAAAAATACATCGGTGTGTGCAGATGTGTTTCAACCCTAATGACGATAAAAATGCAGAAATTACCAATCAGAATAGTGCAATAAATAAGGGATAACAAAAAGGAGATGATGATGGACCAATCATTGGAAAAATTCAACAATAAAATATTCTTCACTATTGTCTGGTTCTCGTACTCTTGCACTGCAGTAAAGGGCATCTAAAACAAAAGCAGAGACTCATGAAAGGACATCTTTGAATATATACTTTGGAGTAGATAATGTAGCATCATCTGATATAACAATATCATTTTCTAATGGCGGGCACACAGAAACCAGGCCAAATTGTTGGCTGAATTTTTCCCCATTTGCTAACATGTCAAAACCCTTATCGGTCAAAAGCTCATTGTCAACTCCTCGACCATTCCCATGTATTTCCAATCTCTTTGTGACCTAGGTACTGTACATTCAACAGGTGCTCTTATCCTGGTGACACACAATGGGAATATATGAGATATATGAGCTATAGGCAGAAAGTCTACAAATGATAGAAACCATTGTCACGTTTTAATAAGAAGGTCTATTAGATGTGAAGACGTTGAGGGACATTCCATATAGCTGGAGTGGAGAGGAAATGAGATGAGTGGTCCCTGCCGCGGGGCCGAGGGTTGGGTAAGTATTTCTTATAATCGCCCCCTAGAAAAAAAGGAGCAGTTAAGGCTTGCAGTGTGTCGTAAAGTAGTCACCGCTCCAAGCTCACTCCCATAATGCACTACAATCTCAATACAAGTTAGTAAACTAAACATGAGATTGTAGCCCATCTCAGGGAGTGAGCTTGGAGCGGTGACTACTTTACAACACACACAGGGACCATGGGGAACAAAAGTAGCCACCCTCCAGAAGGAAGGACAGTGTCAGCACCAATTCAGAGATGATTGGAGGATCTACAGCCGAGTGATACACAAATAAGATACATTGTTGTTATTAGTTAGGGTACTTGTAGAATGATTCCATAGACAACTGTTTATAACTAGAGTAAGCACTTCCCTGAGTTCCACTCAAGCAAAGACCAGAATCACACAGATCCTATTGGACAAAATAGATTGCAGACCATGTATAGGCACGGCGGAATAAGACGAGTGATACATATTTACCAGGAGAATGTTCTATTAACATTACAACATCATCTTTTTGGAAAAATTGATATTGTAAGGAAGGAAGCTTTGTAAACTTGAAGGAAGACCCAGATGTTTGATTTATCCAAATCTAGGATTCTTCAAAGTGACATAAATTCAGAAGTTAAATCTTAAAAATACATTCAGGTACCTTAACTATTAACAGCAATGTATCTTATTTGTGTATCACTCGGCTGTAGATCCTCCAATCATCTCTGAATTGGTGCTGACACTGTCCTTCCTTCTGGAGGGGGGCTACTTTTGTTCCCCATGTTCCCTGTGTGTGTTGTAAAATAGTCACTGCTCCAAGCTCAGTCCCGGGATGGACTACAATCCCAATACAAATTAGTAAACTAAACGTGAGATTGTAGTCCATCCCGGGACTGAGCTTGGAGCAGTGACTATTTTACAACACACACAGGGAACATGGGGAACAAAAGTAGCCCCCCTCCAGAAGGAAGGACAGTGTCAGCACCAATTCAGAGATGATTGGAGGATCTACAGCCGAGTGATACACAAATAAGATACATTTTTGGTATTACTTAGGGTACCTGAATGTATTTTTAAGATTTGACTCCTGAGTTAAGTGTCACTTTAAAAGTAGATACAATCTGGAAACCAGTGAATGAAATATAAGTGGGAGCAGAACAAACAGACCCCTCTGTGTGATTATGTCCTGTTACAGATTGACCAAATACCTGACCCGTTGTTGGTTGGGATGAAAATTCTTCTGCTTATTGCCAGGAAATCAATAAAAATGATAAGTAACTTACCTTAATATTTGATTAGATAATTGTGTATGAACAGCCCCCCCAAAAAGGTTCTAGAGACATTCAACTAATTTATAATAAAGAAGTGCAGAGGACAGCTCAGATTAAGGGGCCAGTAGACTACAATAACTAAAGATTATTTTATTTTTATTGTGCTATACAATTCTACATCTAGGGAGCTGATATAACACACACACATAGCCTGCACCTACTTAATGAGAACCACTGAATGCTCAGAGAATTTATCCTGAAAGCAGCAGACACTAGGGACTCCTCCTCCCACCACTAATGACATAACTGATCCAAGAATAGAACACAAACACAAAAAAAACCCCATAATGAATTAACACATAATAAACGAGTAGTACGGTGAATCAGCAAACTGCCTATTTTATACAGGAAAAACTACAATTGTGAAAGTCAGCTCAGTTTTACTGATTTAATTCTGATGCAGCCAAATTCAGCAGGTTTCTCACAGGTTTTCTGGGTAGGTACGCACACTCTTCTACCACAGTTCTGATCTTTTCCAGAGCCCTGTAACGCTACAATGTGTGTGGTTGAGGCTGCAATGGGCTCAGAGTGTGATGACTGAACAAGTGAACCGGGACTGGGAAATCTTGCGGAAGAGCTATAGGATGGATGGGTTTCTATCCGCATAACAAAGTGCAGCACGTTTAATGATTAGTCTGCAGTACCCTCTTGCAGTCTTCCAGAGATACCCAGGCCTGTTGGGTCTAGCAGGGTTATTCACAGAAGGGTGAAGAGTTTGGAGAAGGCCGGAGAAGGGAACAATCTAGGACAACATCGCTGGTTTGTAAAAATTCTCCATTTCAGCTCACTTTCCAGTTCAGCTATGATGTCCTAGATTGTTCCCTTATCCTTCCTTCTCCAAACTCTTCACCCTTTTGTGAATAACCCTGTTGAGTCTAGATGTTTGAACATCTGCTGGACAAAATTCAGCACTGCAGCATTGTCAAGTTGTACAGCTGACCTCATTTAGTAGGGGCTATATTGGGAGCTGACCATTAAAGATGGCAATACACTGTTATATTTTTTTCATTACGCCAAAACAAACAAAAAAACATGTTCCTCCTTCCATGCTAAACAATGTGGATGGAAGAATCTCCCACTTTGGTTTCTGTATTTTGACAGTGGTGGTCGTGCTGTTGTCAAGCTGGCCATACACCTATAGAATTTCGATCGGGAATTTTCGTTGCTGCCAAGAACCCTCTTTCGATTCCAGTTCAAATAGCCCATTATGCTCAGACCAATGTCAATTTCGATTATCATTCGTTAGCAATACTAAGTCACCAAATTTCGACATTCAACAGAACGGATTTTTGTTTGCGCATGTGCAGTGTTCTTGCTACAATTATTTGTATCAAAATGCCACTAATCCATCAATTCTCGTTCGATTCAAATTTTTTTTTCCAGCCTGACCAATGGAGGAATTTTGGCCAGAAGTACAGTAATTAGAATCATTGGTGTCCCATCAACTGATCGATTATAGTTCAGAAGACCATTCGTGGACGATTTCCGAATGATAATCGATAGTTGTACGGGCACCTTTAGAATATGCCAAATGAAACGGTGCCAACAAGGGCACCCAATTAAAGGAGAACTATGGGGTTAGGGCTTTTCCCCATAGTTCTCCTTAGGGTAACGGGAGGACACAAACTAGCGTCCTCCCGTCACCCTAAGCTCAGTATAGCTGTAGTTCGTGGTATACTGAGACGCCGCAGCTGAAGCGGATCCCGACAATTATGTCTGGATCCACCCAGCTGCGTGAGTGACAGATAGGCAGAGCCAGCTGTACCCGCCCCTCCCCATCCGTTCTGCCAGTCAGCGCTGGAGGATCGGAGCGGCTAGGGGGGAATCCAGCCCCTCCCCTCTCGACAGGATCGAGAAGTGAGCGAACACCGGTATGTGTTCGCTCACTTCCCGATCTACTGAGCCAACCTGTGACAGTCTCATTGTCACAGGTTGGCTAGAACTATGAGGTGAGTGAATTTGTACAATGTATGACCAGCTTTAGTCAGTCCCTAATCATATAGTCAGCACCAAACTTCTATTGTATGTCATTCATGCCTTCCTGACCTTCTGCTTATTCTTTGACTATGCTTGTCTGCCCTTAGCCCTGACTAGACATGTGTGATTCGTTTCGTTCCGAATCAAAATTCATACAAATTTTCCGAAATTTGGACATTTATACACATGGGTATTTCAGAATTTCGCATCCCGTCTGAATTTAGTTCAAAAACCAAAAAGGCCAAATCCGAAACTCAAAATAACGAAATAACCGAACCAAATTTTTCCGTAGCTTACATGTCTAGCCCTTACCTCTAGCTTATCCTGACCTCATGTCTGCTTCTCAATTTGGTACCTTGTTTTGGTCATGCCTTAAATGTCAGCTGTCGCCCTAAGCAATACCGAGGGTTGAACCCTAATATCTGACTGCACTGCAACATCTGCACTCCTGGCAGCTTTAGAGAACATCAGACAGAGAAGGAGATCACCCTCCAGTGACCTTCTACTGCCAGCATTTGAGTTTTTTGGAAACAGGCAAGAATGATCAACAAAGCAAAGTTCTTTGAGCAGTTTACAGAATTTTAATGGTCATCTTGCCAAGCTGAGCTTTCACAAGCGTCCCAAACTGTTCTGCACAATTTCGCATCATCTACTGATCTTTAATAAAAAATTTTAGAGCCCAAGTTGGATCTATTGGGATGTTCATTTTGGAGATTCCAGATGTTAAAAGTGTTCACTTGAATCACAACTGTCTGATCTTTTTGGAAGCTTTACTCAATGTTTAAGACACACTATGTACTCTACATAGTGTATACGTATATACACTACAGGGGTGGTATGTATTAGACATGTCAATTTTGTTTAGTTCCGAATAACATTCAATCAAATTTTGGTAAATTTGGACTTGAGGCCTCTAGTCTCACATATTATTTTAAATCACTTGACCACAATGGAGAAGGCGGTGGGTGGTCACTTCTTGTTGATGTATGTCTGAACCGGCTTGACAATGCTGCTGTGAAATGGATGCTCAGTGCCTTAGGTTGGTTAGTTTAAATTGCCTCACTTCGAGAGTGCCAGGGCCATACCACAGAAAACAATATACAGATACTAATACTAAAGCTGAATCTCCTTGACCCGAATGGCAATCGGGATCCAAATTTCCGAATTGCATTGGGAGCTCCCGAAGGCCCTCCAGGTCTGGGAGCCATATACATATATTAGTAAAGCCATTCGGCTCCCAGACCCGAATGGCATTGGGGAGATCCCGAATGCAATTTGGATCCCGAATGCCATACACATATTACTAAAGCTGGGCAGCACAGTGGTGTAGTGGTTAGCACTTCTGCCTTGCAGCACTGGGGGTGCCTGGTTCAAATCCCAGCCAGGTAACTGTCTGCAAGGAGTTTGCATTTTCTCCCTGTGCTTGGGTGGGTTTCCTCCAGTTTCCTTCCACACTCCAAAGACATGCTGGTAGGTTAATTGGCTTCTCTCTAAGTTGGCCCTCCTATGTATGTTAGATAGGGACCTTAGATTGTAGGCTCCTTGAGAGTAGGGAGTGATGTGAATGTGCAGCTATTCTAAATTGTTGGTGCCATATAAATACCTCAAATAAATAAAGCTGAGGCTCCCAGACCTGAATGGCATTCGGGAGCTCCCTAATGCAATTCAGATATTTGGATCCCGAATGCCTCAGCTTTAGTATTATATGTGTGTACTGTATTTCCTGGTCATATCCATGGCAGCGCTGACAAATGGGTTATCGTCCCCTACCCCTAGCTGACAGGAACAATAAAGGGTTAACATGCAGTATCCTTAGCCTATATAAGCCCCTCCTCTTCCCAAGTTTCACAGTCTATTTGTTTCTGTCCCCCTAGGACAGGGTGCTATCTGTTTTTCGGATTTCTTTTGTTAGGGAACTGATCCTTTGTAGCCCCAGGGGAGTTCAGCCTCTTTCCCCTGGGAAGGACGAAATTCGGACGGGATCCAAAATTCGGAAACGGAATTTTGGATTCGGACACATTCGGATGCATTGGGATTCGGAAATTCGCATGTGTACGAATGTCGGAAAATTGGTTAGAATTTCGATTCGTAACTAAACGAATCCCACGTGTCTAATTTGTAGTTACACTGACAGCTTTTCAATACAATTCCGGTTTAGTGTAACATTTCAACACAATTTAAAAATGTATTTTAAATGATGTTAAAAATAAAACACAGACTCGTGTTATCAGACTCGTGTTAGGTCTATGAGGAACTGGATTTAAATGAACGTGAGTCCATTTACATCTAACTACCCCTGACCTGTCATGATCAGATCTCTGTTCCACTTTGTTTTCTGGACGTGGATGGAGTCAGGGGTAATCAGATGTAAACAGACGCAGATGCATTTACATTCAACTGCCCATAGAGTAACAACAGGCTTCCAAAGAAATCCACCTGAAAAACTATCAGGGGACCTGATCCAATCCACCATCTGAAAGTGATCCAATCCACCATCTGGTTTCTTGACAGCAGAGGTATCTCTTGATATTATTCAATTACTTTGTACTTTTTTATTTATAGAATATGGTTAAGTAGATGGCAGCTACCAATGAGACTTTTTGGCATGACTTTATCTTATTGGGATTTCCAGAAGAACAAATATTATTCTCAATTCTAATTGCTCTAATCTACACAATGACTGTTCTAGGAAACCTCACGGTCTTTAGCATCACTCAAGTGGACAGCCGCCTCCAATCACCGATGTATTTTTTCCTGGCTTGTCTATCTTTACTAGATGTCTGTTACTCTTCCGTTACTCTTCCAGCCATGTTGGCCAATGCCATAACAGGCAACAGAACGATTTCCTTCATTAGATGTCTTACACAACTCTATTTCTTTGTCTGCTTTGGAGGAACGGAATGCCTTCTTCTGGCTGTCATGGCTTATGACCGATACGTAGCAATATGTAACCCGCTCCACCACACCACCACAATGAACAGGAAGGTCTGTTTATACTTTGTGGCAGGGTACTGGTTCTGTGGGTTTACGAATGCGACCTTTCACACCTTGATGACTTTAAAACGTACTTTTTGTGTTCCCCCACATATCAGCCACTACTTCTGTGATGTTCTTCCTTTGTTACAAGCGGCTTGTAGTGATATACATGAAAGTCAGTTGGTTTTACACCTTGTTGCCCTATTCATTGGGATGGCTCCATTCATTCTTATAACAAATTCATACATCCGTATTATTTCCGCCATACTGAAAATCCGCTCCACCACAGGAAGGCAGAAGGTCTTCTCCACCTGTTCATCCCACCTCATTGTTGTAACAGTGTTCTACATAACTGGCAACTTTACCTACAATAGCCCACATTCTGGAGATTCCTTTGTCTTTGTTCGAGTGTCGTCTCTTCTATACGGTATTGTTCCCCCATTGCTGAATCCCGTTATTTACTGTCTGAGAAATAATGAGGTGAAGAGAGCCTTGAAGGACGTTCTTACTAAATTTTATACTTCATTCGGATGATAATAACACCTAACTTGGAAACTGTTTGGCATATGAACACAAATTAGTTTATTTCATGGAAATTTTAATGATTGGCAAAGGTTTCAACATATTCTTTCTGTAGATTTCTTTAAAGTGTGCTCTGGTTGGAGAATAAGTTGGAGTCTCAGAATATCCAATGCAACAGAAAGAAAATTCAGGGGATATGGCAGTAAATCAGCATTTACTTTTGTATTTGTACCCTAAATTTACAAATTGAATAAAAACTGTAACCTACACTCTGTAGTGTAGACAACAATAGATCCTAAAATAAGGAATCAATGTGTATCGAAAAATATTCAAATATCACCATGCAGTTAGGTCCTTCAATATAAATCAATAAAAAGATAACAAAAACTCCTGTTATAACCTTTTTTTGCATAAATAAATTGTTTTCCCAATGAACTTCTTTGCCTACAAAGGTGATTATTTTAAAGGGTCCCAGTCAGAAGTTTTGTTTTCACCAAAAAGCCAGGTGCATGAATGAATTCTTGCCATTGCCTCAAAATGTATAACCAGAAAATGTATGTTTAAATGCAAGCAGTGCAAGTACCTGAATTTTATCTGGAATCAACCTCTTGCAGTCCCAGTACAATAAAGTTGGAGTGCGAAAGGGAGAAGCAGTACAAAGAGCCAATCAGTTCATGTGCAGACAAGGAGAATGCTGATAGAGAGAGCACAGCAACGTTACTGTGCTGCTCTTCCTTTCACTGTCCAGTCACTGCCTAGGGTGGATTCAGGAAACCCCTGGCTCAGAGGGTTGTTCTTTGGTTGCTAGGACGCAGGCAGCTATTGCCACCTAGTGTCCTTTGTTGCTAGGATGCAGTTGGCTCCAATAGAGTCCATTTGCACTGCACACTGTATACAGGTGAAACTCGAAAAATTAGAATATCGTGCAAAAGTTCATTTATTTCACTAATGCAACTTAAAGGTGAAACTAATATATGAGATAGACTCATTACATGCAAAGCAAGATAGTTCAAGCCGTGATTTGTCATAATTGTGATGATTATGGCTTACAGCTCATGAAAACTCAGATCCACAATCTCAGAAATTTTTTGGCAGTGTGGGCAGGTGCCAAGTCCTGCTGGAAAATGAAATCAGCATCCCCATAGAGCTCGTCTGCAGAAGAAAGCATGAAGTGCTCCAAAATCTCCTGGTAGACGGCTAAGTTGCATTAGTGAAATAAATTAACTTTTGCACGATATTCTAATTTTTCGAGTTTCACCTGTACATGTAAACATTAGCACAAACGCATACATGTGTACAATGTAAAATACTGTCCATTTGCAGGACCGCGTATGCAGATTTGTAATTTCTTTTAATGAATGCAGTGCAAGTTTACTAATCTTTACTCAACTGTGTACACGGGCCAATAGAAAAGAACAAACTTGCATTCAGATCTGTAAAAAAAACCCTATGTACTGATAGAAATGCAGTGCTTTTTTATGCCCATGTGCAAGAACCTCTTGTTATTTTTGGCTGAGCTCTGCTATAACCTTACATCTTTGCCCAACCCCTTAACCTGTATTTAGCTGTCAGCCTCGACAGTGGACTTCAGCTTCATTGCCCAATTCTTAAAGCCTAAAACGTTTATTCAGCTTTGGATAGAGTTTGGAATTGTTGGGGCCTCTGTTGGGATATTGATTTTCTGACACCTGTGTCCCTTTTGTGAAAATTTCCCCTTCACTTCAGGAGTTCAGATACAGGCAGGTTATACTGCCACCTGCAGGAGCATTGGACACTGGCAAACATAAAAATTGTAAGCTAGTCCCCAGTATAATCCCTTCTCTACCCAGCATACCTCAGTGTTATGGTTAATCAGTACTAAGGGCACAAACAAAAACACAGAAGAGCGGAACCTATGCTCCTTTAGGGACTCCAAGAAGTTGATTATACGGACCAACGCCTGAATCTAAATGGATGAGGTAGGGCTTTCAACTAGGTAGGGAAACCTGCCAACACAACCAAGGGGAGAGCACAAAGGATCAACCTGCTGCTCCAGACCAGGAAAAGGTCATCGCCAAAGGGGACTGGGGATAACCCCTCGAAGGAACAGATCCCTAGGGAACCCAGAGCAAAAAACAGGTCCAGGCAAGAAAGACCAGGAAATCTACATGGGAAGGCCAAATACCTAATCCCTAGATCAAAGGGATAAAACTAAAGAAGGTTGCTTATCCAGACAATCAACCTCACTAAATGAGGTACCCTAGAGAATGTATGGTATGAGTAGAACCCAATAGCATGAGGGCATAAAGAGACCCCTGAGCCGCTATGGGTTTTTTCCCACAAAGTCAACAGGACAAAAGGAAAAAGAGTGCATGCAGGGCACTGCCATAAGGATAGGCAGAAAGGAAAATTAGCCTTCAGCCCCAGACTAGTGAGCTGGAAAGCACCAAAGGACACTGAGTATAACAATGAAAACACACTCTTTTACACCCTTAGGTGACAATAGGCCTGCAAAAGGATGTTGTAGAGCCTGTCTAACTCTGACCACAGCCAAGGTGCTAGGGAGCTCCTGATCGCCCGGGTCAAGTAAAGCATCAACACCCATGGAGTGAGGGGCAGGGATCTTAGCCAAAGCACTATGATCATATGCCTGACAAAGAGCAAGTCAAGGGAAGGTATGAGAAAGAACTTCCCCAGAAGGCTGCTGATCAGCAAAGGGGGAAGGGCCAATGACCTGGTGAAGAGGTCCCACAGAATCCTCTAGGCACACCTTGTCCCCAGCAGAGAGTATCTGCAGTAGGAGACTAGGAAGATCTGCCTCAATATGGATAAATATAATATCAGAGAAATATGGTGCAGCGCTTTATCAAATAAACAACTAAATACTCTAAATATAAAACAAACCGTGTCATGAAATACAAAAAAATAAAATAAAATTATTTTTTTCCTCCTTCTCAGTGCTTCATACAAGTGTTTACATTCAATCCATCACTCATTCAGTGCAGTGCTTCTGCCCACCATTAGTGATCCCTAATGGTGGGCAGAAGCACAGCAGGCACTACTGGTGGGGGAGAGCTCCTTTCCAGGGCAATGTGCATCATTAAGGCCACTCAAGGGGGCTAAAGAACGCTGGCAAAGAGTGGGAAAGGGGTGGACTATTCTAAGGGGGTTCCCCCAATGTCCTAGATTCCCACAAGGGAGGAGATGGTATGAATTCCTTGTTGCATGACAAGGGTGCCAAAGCTACACAAGGTGTGGGCATTTCTAATGGCTTAAGCTGGTGACAAGTGGCTGCCAATTTTGAAACCCAGTAAGGCCCAAACTGGCTGGATCCTACAGCAAGTATGTGCTGATTACATGGATCTATAAAGATGACTCTTTGAACAGGAGGTCATCTGAGCACTCCACAATGGTGGAGCTAGGAGAGGGCATTAGACTAGATACAAAAGTAAATACGGTTAAACATATTACAATTACAATTTAACAAATTAAAAAATACAGTTCAAATTATGTTTAAAACAAAACTAAAACAATAACAAATCCTTACTAGGACTCAGATGCTTGTTTGTGAAATTGAGTTGTCTCCATGGATTGAAAACACATCTGATTGGCCAGAAAAGTCACATGTCCGATTCAGTTTTGTTTTCGAACGAAATTCGGAAACGAAAATTTAGATCCGCACACATTCGGATGCAGTGGGATTCGGAAATTTGGATGTGTCCGAACCCTCGAATTTCTGAAAATTTCTGAAAACTCGTCCGAATTTTGATTGAGAATGAAAAAAATCGCACATGTCTAATATGTAGTTACACTGGCAGCTTTCCAATACAATTCCGGTTTAGTGTAACATTTCAACAGAATTTAAAAATTAATTTCAAATTATGTTAAAAATAAAACACAAAAAATAACAAATCCATATGAGGTCTCCATTGCTTAGTTGTGAAATTGAGTTGTCTCCATGGATTGGCTCTTTGGATAGTCCCAAAGCCGTTTGTGTGTATAAATACTGTATAATTCACGTTGTTTGGATTCATATATGACTTGGTGGTAAATGGGATTTCTATTGTTATATCATCCATCCAACCATTTGATTTGTACAACCATTCTTGTTATTTGCATATTTGATCCGCTGTAATATTTTATGGAGAACATTCTCGGATAGATTGTCAGTCTGGTAGACAGAATTCTTGGTTTAAAAACTCTTCAATCAGTCACCACTGAAAATAATATTTTATGGAGGACATTCTCGGATAGATTGTCAGTCTGATAGACAAATTCTTGGTTTGAAAACCCTTCAATCAGTCACCACTGAAAATTAAAATAAATTCCTTTCAATAATTTTTATGGTATAGTTTTCGAGACTAGTTTTCAGTGACTTGACCAGCTGGCCTTTAAATAAAAAAAAATTGTGGCCTTGGCTACTTATATTATTATCACCAAACTGGAAAATTCCTCAAATGATGCCCAGAAATGCTACCCCTTGATAATATGTGTGTGCATGGACAACCAATTATTACAAGCAAATTTATAAATGATTTGAATCTGAAGCTATCAGAAATTTAAAGCCTGAAATTCTTGTTTTTCAAGACCATGTGGCCACCGAAAAAATATGTGATATTTAGGAAAGTTTCTAAATCCACAATTTTCTTGCAAGCACATAGGTGAGAAGTGAAGTTTTTCTGCATGTGCCACAAACATTTATTATGAGTCAGTAGGAATAGTCTTTCATAACTCTAATGCACTCATTTGTTGGACAATATTTGAAAATGTTATTGTTTAACTAAAGATTTATTTCGAAATTACTTCACCAGTGTTATGGCTTTCAAAAGATGTAGATCTAAAGATCCAATGGCGTCAGGAAGTCTACATTTTATAACGGCTTTATCTTTACTATTTTACTTCGTCTTACCATGCTCACCATACACATTATAATCTGACATCTAGCAGCTCAAATACAAGTCAGAAATAGGTCAACTGCGAGTCATATGTCAATGATTTCTGAATGATCTTAAAAACTTATCAAACTGACACCATCGACACAAGTCTAAAGCCAGCTGATACAGGTCCTAGAGGGGATTGCACAGTCAGTGTGTAAGATGTGTGGTGGGTTTTCCGGTTTCAGTAGATGTATTTGTTGGTAATATTTACATATTTCCCGCTTTCTTTCTTATAGAATATGGTTAAGTAGATGGCAGATACCAATGAAACATTTTGGCATGACTTTATCTTATTGGGATTTCCAAGGGAACAGATATTATACTCACTCTTAATTGCTCTAATCTACACAATGACTGTTCTAGGAAACCTCACGGTCTTTAGCATCATTCAAGCGGACAGCCGCCTCCAGTCACCGATGTATTTTTTCCTGGCTTGTCTATCTTTTTTAGATGTCTGTTACTCTTCCGTTACTCTTCCAGCCATGCTGGCCAATGCCATAACAGGCAACAGGAAGATATCCTTCCAGAGATGTCTTACACAACTCTATTTCTTTGTCTGCTTTGGTGGAACGGAATGCCTTCTTCTGGCTGTCATGGCTTATGACCGATATGTGGCGATATGTAACCCGCTCCACTATACCACCACAATGAAGCCGGAGATCTGTTTATACCTTGTGGCAGGGTGCTGGCTTTGTGGATTGGTAAATGCGACCTTTCACACCTTGATGACTTGGAAGCGTACTTTTTGTGGCACTCGACATATCAGCCACTACTTCTGTGATGTTCTTCCATTGCTACAAGCGGCTTGCAGTGATATACATGACAGTCAGGTGGTCTTACATGTTGTTACCTTTTTTCTTGGGATGGTTCCATTCATGCTCATAGCAAATTCATACATCCGTATTATTTGCACCATATTGAAAATCCACTCCACCGCAGGAAGGCAAAAGGTCTTCTCCACCTGTTCATCCCACCTCATTGTTGTAACAGTTTTTTACGTAACTGGCATCTTCAACTACAATGGTCCACATTCTGGAGATTTCCTTATCATTGTTCGAGTGTCGTCTCTTCTTTTTGGTGTTGTCCCCCCATTGTTGAACCCGATCATTTACTGTCTGAGAAATAATGAGGTGAAGAGAGCCTTGAAGGATGTGATTATTAAATTATATATTTTACTGAAAGGATAATGCCACCAAGTACTGGAAACTGTTTTTTGAACAAAAATGAATTGCCTTATAAATTTTGATTAACAATCACTTCACTGGCAAAGGGTTTTATACAATTATTCTATCTCTTTCTTTATACCATGCTCTGGTTCAGGAAAAATAGTTACATACATAGTTACACAGTTATGAGAGTGTGGTCCTAGGAGTTCTTGTACCCCTATATGTTATGGTCTCTGAGGAAGGTATCTAATTGGTTTTTGAATGATTCAATACTCTCTGCTTATACCACAGCTTGTGGCAGAGAGTTCCAAAATCTAACCACTCTGACTGAGAAGAAGCCTCTACGCCCTTTGTGGTTAAATCTTTTCTCCTCCAATTTTAGGTGGTGGCCTCTATTCCTTGTTAGGAAGTTACTGTTACTGTAATTTTTACACCCTAAATAGGTGATTCTAGAAGCTCCATTGTTGAAGGACAAATCAAGGACCAGAATTTCGACTATAAATGAGCAGATCAGCCCACAGAGCATAGAATACTATGCACAGATTGGTTCATTGGTAATTCATGAACGAGTAACAAATTATAAAGTGCTCACCAATTATTAAACCCTCATTTGTTTTTGCATATATCTAGTGCTAGCAAGCAGGAGATATATGCAAAACAATAAAATACAATTAAAAACTTTTTGAAAGAGTTAATACTTACCTGTGTCTTCGCCGCGCGCTCCTGTCCGAACATCAGAACGTTTCTCGGGTGGCCACAAAGGATCTAGGGGCGGGCGCATGCGCAGTTCAGATGTTCGGCCGGGAGCCGAGGAGAGACACAAGGTAAGTCTATGGAGCAGCGTGCACCCGCATAGACACAGTGGGACATGAGAGAAGAGGAGGACAGAGGAGTCAGCGCTGGATCGGAGAGCCGCACTTGGGGGTTTTATGTCATTTTCAGGCCTAAAATGTGGAATATAACATGGGTACAAAAAATGAAAAAAAGGCCTCAGTCATGAAGGGGTTAAATATTGGGTAAAAATGTCATTCTAGAGAGATGTCATATTGTGAGACACATTTATGAAGCTGTTCTACTTTCTTAAAGGTTGCTTTTTTCTTGATTGTTTGCTCGGCAAAGTTAATAAATAAAATATTCCTCAGAAAATGGTAAAATCGTTTTCTTTCTTATTTTCCATTAAATATCATTTGTTTCTGTAGTTTTCTTTCTTTGTTTTTTTTATATTCTCAATAGCAAAGCCTGGATCTTAGAGGTGGAAAAACAACTGCAATAGGTTATAAACACCCAACAGAAACTGTACAATGAATTTTGGACTTTGCATGTACATATTTCACTATTATATAGTACATTCTGGTCAGCCAACAACAAATAATTACAAAAAAATAAATATTTGCACTGAAGCTGGTGATTACTTTATGAAATTAGCGGAATACATTTTTTATATAGATCTCTAATAAATCAAATTATATATCGTACATCGATCTTTCTAATTTCCCTAATATAATTTTCCTATAGCTTTCTATATTTAAAATATTTATATTTGATTCTATTATATTA